TGGAATTTTATTCAGCCATAAAAAGGACAGAAGTAGCAATACATGCCACAACATGGATGAACCTTGAAGACATCATGCTAAGGGAAAAAGCCAGACACGAAAGGTCACAAATCTTACATGATTCCCTTTATATGAAATACCCAGAACAGGCATATCTGTAGGACAGAAGCAGATGTGTGGTTGCGAGGGGCTTGGGGAGAGGGAAGAATGAGGGCGTGTCTGCCTAATGAGTCTCTGTTTGGGGTAATGAAAAAAGTTCTGGAATAGATAGTGGCGGTGGTTGCACAACACTGTGAATGTACTTAATACCACTGAATTGTCAACCTTAAAATGGTGAAAATTATAAATTTCATGTTACGTGTTATTTTACCACCATAAAAAAAGAAAGAAAAAAATACCCACTTCCTATGAGCATGCCAGACACACGGTAGGTACTTTGGTAAAGACCAACTCAGTGTTTGGTGCTTTTGAAGAAAGGGGCATTTGGTGTGAGGTCTCCCTTCTTAGGTGCAGGGAAAGAGCATGTTTTCCACTCTTATTGCTTCTACGGGATGCTGTTGCTTCTCGCAGAAACGTGCACAAGGCTTGTAAGTCAGGTGGGTCCCCGGCACTTGGGCTCATGAGGATAACATGCCCAGTGGCTTGCTCTTGGGAGCTGTCTGGGTGGGGGAGGGGGATGCATGACTTTATGCAGAGAGCACAGGTCTGCTCAGTTTGACATTGGGAAGAAAAATCATGCTCAATAACGGGTCTTCAGCAAATGCAGCTGAATAAATAAAAATGTGTGCATAAAACAGCAGGGGACCCATGAAGAGTGGCTTTTTTGGCGTGTTGGGAAGACATTTATGGTTGGGAACCTAGTGACCAGAAAGCAAGACTGCCTCAAGATGAGAAAAGCTGGGGGAGGAGGTCATCTGGAGACAGAGCTTCGCCACGGCCGAGGGCAGTGAATCGAGCAGTTGAACCGTTGAGCTCTGCGTGGGCCTTGGAAGGCCCCGAACAAGAATCTTATTGATGATTTGTCAGACCCCGAGCAGACAGCCCTGAACTTTAACAGAGCCAGGATGGAAAGCTCGCACAAGGGCCTACAGTTTCCAGAATGAACAACACATTTATTTTTCCCCCCGCTGCGCTGGAGGACGAGGAAGAGACCAAAATGAAAAGCGTGGGGGACGGAGGGGAGGAAATGTGATGAGCATGTTCCAGAGCCTCAGTGGAATGGCCACATTCCTCCAAGGGACTGCCTGCCCCTCTGAGCCCCGAGGGTTGAAAAATGTCACTGGGGTTGGCACAAATTAGGGCCTTGCCTTTGTTGACTGTTATTTCCCAGAGCCTGTAGCTGGACCCCAAGAGGATGTGTCTGTCGGGGAATCACTGACAGCCTCCTGTATGCTTAGCATCTTGTTGGACGTGCAAACCTACAAAGCCCGACCCTTGACCAGAAAGAGCTCATGCCTAGCCCTGGACTCAGACACCTGCCAAGACGACCATGAACAATTGGTCGTGGTGGTAAAGGACCTAGGGAGGCAGAAGCCAGCAAGAACGATGAGCACCTCTGGCTGTGGCAGCTTCACGGAGAAGGGGACCTTGAACCATGATGTGGATCCAGAGAGAAAAGAGAAATGGACGTTCTGGCCTTTTTGACTCTGTCTTATTCCTGGTCCTGTGTTTCTTCAACCTAGGTGCTTCCCTGTCACCCAGCACAGCCTGGAGGAAAAGGAGGGTATTCACATTGTCCTCAGCAGAGAGCACCCCGAGTGCCGCTGCCCCCACCCACCTGCTGGCTCATCAGTTTTCCAATGGCAGGGACCAGGGCTGGTTCACCTTGGTATCCCTATGCTTGGGCATCTGATGGTGTTCTGCTGCTCAGCTGCCCAGGCAGCTCCTCCTGGGGTGCCTACGTCAGCAGGTCCGGTCGGCCCCTCCTCTCCACCCCTCGCCCTAGCTTGTGGAGTTTGATAGGGAACAGAGGCCAGGGCTCAGGTAGCCCTCCCTGGCTCCTGGGGAACGACTGCAGCCGATGGACGGCAGACAGCAACTTCAAACTTGGACATACTTGGGTTCAAACCCCGGTGCCACTACTCACTGGGGACGTGGCCAGATTAGGTATAATTCAGCCTCAGCATCCCATTCCCACGGCTATGCACCTGCGGGGTGAGATCTGGAGATGGTGGGTACAGCTGATGGCACAGGGCCAAGTGCTGTGACGAGGTCACACCCTCATCGTTCTCGTCTGCACTAATGTGGTCATCTAATTGGCCTCCCTGCCTCCCCTCCTGGCCCTCTTCTATCTGTCCTCCCCACCGTTTTCAGACTTACTCTGTCTCTGGCCTGCTCGAAGAGTTGTGCGTGGCCCTGCAGGATAAGGCTCCAGCCCCCGAGCAAAGCAAATAAAGTCCTCACCGTCTGCCTCACCCCCAACCTGCAGTTCTGGCCTTAAAGCCCACTTCTCAACTTTGAGGCCCTCACGCCACCCCTGTGCTCCATGTGTCCCGATGCACAGAGCCACTCGTGGTTTCCCGGACACACCATGTGCTTTCAGTGCTTGAGTCTTCTGAGCATCTAACTGCCTTTTTCTTAAAATGCCCCTGCCTCTTTCTAGTGAACTCCTATGCATGCCTCAATGGCCAGCTTATAAATTCCTCTTCCTGATAACCTCAGGGTTCACCTCTCTTTTCTTGGTGCATTGCTGGTCCCTAAAGGGCTAAAGACCTCTCTGGGACACCTTTGTCTCCCCAGAGCCAGGCACAGCGCTTTCCACCCTGTGGCTTGGGATACACTTCCTCACGTGAAATGTAAACAGAGGCTCTGTTCCAGGAACCCGGCTGCTTTTGGGAATAGCTAAGGATGTGGAAGTGGGGAGATACTTTCGGTTTTCATGCTTTTTTCTTTTGTTAGTTCAGAAGTAGCAGCAGAGGGACAGCCTTGAGGGGTTTGGGAAGTCGGGGGAAGGCAGCTGCAGACCCCGGTCGTCCACGGCAGCTGAGGTCAGGGGGCAGCTTTCCTTGTACATATCCATTGTTTTCCCTCGTTTGACTTTAAGCTCACTGCTCTTTAGCGGGTCTGGTTCCTACCGCCGACAGGAAACTCATGATTAGCTTTTAAAAACAAAACACAAGCTAAGGCCTTTCAGTTCGGGAACCGTGTTTTCTTCTTTTAAATCCTTCTGTGGGGCCAGCAGAGGTGGGTGCTGAATTAACAGCAGTAAACAGCGTTCGCAGACTGCCGGGGCTCACGTTCAGAAAGCTGGATTATGGCCCCTTCTGACTGTATCTCGGGCGAGAGTTGTATTTCTGCGGGCATCCCCTCTCTCTCTGTTTCCTTGTTTAATTCAGTTCCCCCCACCCTGCCCCCCTGCCTCGGTGCCAGCCCCAGTTCTGCCCCAGGTCAGTTGTCCAGGCCCAGCAGCACCGCTGCCTTGGCGAGTGGAGGGCAGGGGGACGCTGGCCCTTGGTGAGCCAGTCTGGTCACAGCAGAGCATGGGGCCAAGGCCTCCGGCTCCGGCAGAGAGGTTCTGGGGCAGATGGCAGGAACCCCTACCCATTAGGATCACCAGGGCATCCTCTAGTGATGCCCGTGGGGACTGATCTCTCCTGATGTTTCTCTGTCCACCCAGAGACTCCTGAGGCCCATCCTCTTTGGCAAGCACTGGACCACCTGGAAGAGCTTAGTCTCTGCCCTGCACTCCCGTGTGCCCTACGCCCCTCTCCCACCTTCTCCCCCCTCTAGGTATTACTACCTGCTCAGTGTGAGGGTTGCCAGGGAGACAATGGGGTGGGCCTGGGGTGACACGTAAGTGCAGTCTTCCCCCAGACTTGTCCCCAGAATGACACGGGTGAAGAGCTGGCCGTGCAGACGGGGAGCTCGCTCTGGTCTGCAACAGAGTGGTCACGAGGAAAGAGGAGCCGCCATGGGTTCCAAACGGTGTGCGAGTTGCCAGGGTCCAAGTTTTAGAACAGCTAGTCATGCAGTACACTTCAGGAGTTGGTTTCATTTACATCATTGCGGGGAAGAATTGTTTAGGTTCCCGGTGTTGTTACTGTATTACGTAAACCAGAAAAGTGGGCAGAGATCCTTTTTCCAAAGCCCATCTGTTCTAATGTTTTGGCTAGGTAGGACCTGCCAGGTACCTGGATTTTTAGTGGACTTCTCTTTAGTCCTGATCCAGGCCGGTCATTTATTTTTCTTATGGGCTGGCCACGGGGTTCTTCCACGTATAAAAGTAAGCAGATGGATTTGCTTTGCTTTCATTCATTAATGTAGTCAGCACATATTTATTGGATATTGTGCTGGGCCCTGGAAATGTGAGCAAGACACGGGGCCTGTCCTCGGAGCTTATAGTAGCTAAATAGTAATACAGCCATGACAGGGTGCAGTTGGAGCTACGTATTCATTTCTTACTGCTGCGGGAACAAACTACCAAATTTGGCGATTTCAGAGCAACATAAATTCATTAACTCACAGGTCCAGAGATGCGAATCTAAAAGGGGCCCACAGGGCTCCGTTCCTTCTGTGGGCTCTAGGAAAGAATCCATTTCCTTGCCTTTTCCAGATTGTAGAGGTCACCTGTGTACCTTGGCTCACGGTCCTCCATCCTCAAAGCCAACGTTGTAGCATCTCCTCTCTCTGACTCTTGCCCTCCTGACTCTTGCCCTCTTATCTCCCTCTTAGGGGGCGCAGCTAGATAATCCAGGATAATCTCCTTTATTCAATCACATCTGTGAAGTCCCTTTTGCCATGTAAAGTAGCGTATGCACAGGCTCAGGGGATTAGGTCATGGGCATCTCTGGGGGACCATTATTCAGCCCACCATAGGGGCCAGTGCTGGTAACATGGGGTTATCCGTTAAAGAAGCCTCACTGTCCCAGAGAGGGCAGCCCAGGAGGAATGTCATCTAGACCAAGACCTGAGGGATGAGTAGGATTTAGCCAGGGGAAGAGAAGATACGGTGTATGAAGGCCAGAGAAGGAGAGAGGTGTGTAGTGGCTGGGCTGTACAGCATGACGATGCGTGTGGGTGGGTGACGCTGGAGCAGTCTGCGGGGCTTTGGGGGCCAGGTGGGACCAGATCCCCCATCTGGGGAACTAGGAGCAGCTTTGAATCATGGGCAACCTGGGAACAGAGTCGTGTTTTAGAAAGCCATGCAGCCAGGCCAACATCAGGCTTAGAATCATAGAATTTCAGAGCTGGAAGGAACTTGATAATGCATTTGACCTAAATGACCTGAGAAGGTTAAATAACAGGCCCAAAGTCACCCAGAGAAAATAATCCCCCAGCTCTAGGAGCAGAGCTTGACAGCCAGCCAGGCTCTTTGGAAACTGTGTTTTCTTAGTTTTCCCACAAGAACCCCATGAGGGCAGACATTGGCAATGGAGGAGATACACTCAGAAAGTTGGGGCAACGTGGCCACTGCCACTCCCCTAGCAAATGGAAGACCTGGGGCTCACCGTGGAAGTTTTCCATCTCAAAGCCGAGGGCCCGTTCTTCGCACCCTGTGCCTCACACCAAACCCTTCCCCTTGGGACCAGAGGGTGCACAGTGGGATACTGCGGGGTCCGGAGGTGTAGCCGAGCTGGGCCTTTGGAGAGGAGGCAGCCACTGTAAAGCTTTGTCCTGTTTTTGTCTCTAGCCCTGGAGCAGCTGCTGACAGAGCTGGATGACTTCCTCAAGATTCTCGACCAGGAGAACCTGAGCAGCGCGGCCGTGGTGAAGAAAAGCTGCCTGGCCGAGCTCCTCCGGCTTTACACAAAAAGCAGCAGTAAGTCTGGGCTCCGGGCCTTGGAGAGGTCCCCTCAGAAGCAGAGAGGTGGCTGTGTTAGTCAGCAAGGGCTGCCGTAACTACACACCATGGACTGGGTGGCTTCGACAAAGACTTTTATTTTCTTACACTTCTGGAGGCTGGAAGTCCAAGATCAAGGTGTCAGCAAGTTTGGTTTCATTTGAGGCCTCACTGGCATCTCCCTGTGTCCTCACGTGGCATTCCCTCTATGTAGGTCTGTGTCCTAATCTCCTCTTTTTTTTTTTTTTTTTTTTAGGCAGGGTCTTTCTCTGTCACCCAGCCTGGAGTGCAGTGGCAGCATCCTAGCTCACTGCAGCCTCACAATCTTGGGCTCAAGCAATCCTCCTACCTCAGCCTCCCAAGTAGGTGGGACTACAGGCCCACACCACCATGCCCGGCTAATTTTTCTATTTTTGGTAGAGATGGGGTCTTGCTCTTGTTCAGGCTGGTCTTGAACTTCTGGCCTCAAGTGATCCTCCTACCTTAGACTTCCAAAGTGCTGGGATTATAGGTGTTAGCTACTGCCTGGCCCTAATCTCTTCTTGTAAGGACACCAGTCAGATTGGGATCAGGGCCCACCCTACTGACCTCGTTTTAACTTAGTTACCTGTTTAAAGACCCTATCTCCAAATTCAGTCAGTATTCTAAGATACTGGGGGCCAGGATTTGACATGATTTGGTGAAGGACAAAATTCAGCCTATAACAGTGGGACAGGGGCATGATCTAACCTGAGTGGGAGCCCCAGAAATCTCTGAACACTCAACCCAGCAGGCCAGGAGTGAGGTTTGAAATGAAATATTTTCAAAGTCCTCTTCCTTGCTGCTCGAAAGTGGAGAAGGGATAATAAACTGTTATAATAGCTACGGCTTAACTGAGCACTTCCCACGTGTATACGTATTAACTTATTTCTTCTTCAGGACACCCTGACGAGCTTGGTGCTGTTGTTACCGGGGAAACCAAGGTCCAGAGAGTTTAAATAACTTGCCCAGTATTGTACAGCCCAAGGGAAAACAGGAAACCATAGTTTTAAGACTTGTAAATCACAGAACCCCGAGTTTATGATTTTTCTATCTTTTTTACCAAGGTAAAGTTTACATATAATAAATGCACATATCTTAAGTATTCAATTCAGTGAGTTTTGATAATTGTACACACCCATGTCCCCGTATCCCCCCCGCAAAAACAAGACATAGAATGCTTCTGTCACCCAGAAAGTTCTGTCTTGCCCCTTCCCACCCTCACCACAAGGTAACTGCTGTTCTGATTTCCCCCACCATAGATGGGAGTTGCCCTTCCTGGAGATTTGTACAAATGGAGCCACGCGACGAACACTGCATCGGCTTCTTTTGCTCAGGAGATTTGTCCGTGCTGTTGGGTGTGTCAGTAGTTTGTTCCTTTTATTGCTGAGTAGTATTCCGTTCTGTGAATATACCACACTCTGTTCATCCATTCGCCCGTTGATAGGCATTTGAGTTGTTCACAGATCGGGCTATTACGAGTAAGACGGCTGTGAACAGTCTCGTACGAGACTTGTGGAAATATGCTTTCATTTCTAACAAATTCAGATTTTTTCCAAAAAGAAAACAGTCCTGTGAAATCGTAACAGTTGACTTGATTTTTATGTCATATGTTTGAGAATTGGAAGTGCTGTTTGGGGACAGTGAGGGACCGCACGGGGCATCTAATCCATCTGCCTCTCGGCAGGAGCAGCCTACATCCGTGCCAGCCAAGGGCAGTCTGCACCTGCTCCAGCCACCTGGAAACGCGTCCTCGCATCGGACCTGAGCCTGCTAGGCTACACTTCAAGGCCTTTTCCCCTCCTTTGTTCCCCTAGAACGAGTTTCTGCTGTCTGAACCGCAGCAGAGCAGTCGTAAAGCTGAGGCACGTTGCTGCGTGCCCGTCTGCTTTCTCTTCTGGCGGAAACATCCGGCTCCTTAGCCTCTCATCAGAGCGGTTTTTCTCCAGTCCCTTTGTCGCCTTTGCAGCTCCCCAGGCCACCCCGCGGTTCCCAGGCTCCTCAAGGCTTTGCAGGGCAGCGCATCAAAGCAGCCGCGGTGGGAACGGCGGGTGGCAGATCCACATTACAGGGCAGGAAAGTCAGAGAGGGATGATTCATCCACAGAAGGATTCACAGTGGAATCCTTTAAAAAGCACACTCCCCCGACCGTTCGGATGTGTTCCGACTTGCGAACGTTCAATTAGAAAGAACGCCTCTGCTGGGAATTGGAAAACACCTCTTGGTGACGGGTCTGGCCCAAGGTTCTTGGTGCTAACCGCTCTGGCAGAGCCTGCTGCCTTGGGTCCCCTTTTTGGTTTAATGTGCTGTGCAGCTTCCTGTGGGGTGACTTTGCGCTGCCCTTGATGTGCGCTTGGAAAGTCAGGCCTGCCCCACCCTTGGACTCTGCACCTTGGAGGTGGCAAGAGGCTGCTGAGAGTTGGTTAGGAGTTCCCCAGAGTGAATCACCCCCATCTTGCCACCCAGATCGCTCAGAAATATATACAGCCACGCTGAGGCCTGTGGCGACCACTTGTATCCTTAGGGGTGACGGCCACTTATTAATAGCCACTGTGTGACAGGGAATTTTCTTTTCGGTCTTCTTTGTAGCCCTTGGACTGCAGAGTGGGTATAACAGCAGCCAACGTTTATTGTGTACGTACTGTGTCGCAGCACGGTGCTTCCTGTATTAAATGGCATGAATTACACCACGTAATCCCCATCCCAAATCCGTGAGGGAGTTGTGTTATTCCCACTTTACCAAAAAGGGAACCGAAGCTTGGAAAGTCACTTGCCCAGAGGCACACGGCTGGGAGTGGCAGAGCCAGGGCTTTGGCTGAGCAGATTGACCTGGTCTCACTTCCCCACGCTCTATCGCACCAGATTAGTAGTTGTGTTGCGCAGCACAGAATCCTGAGTACCCCCCTCCGAAATTAAAGCATTCATCTTTCTCTCGGCCTCCGAGGCCCGCCTCACTGTGTGTCTAACGAAAAATTAGCTCAGCCTGATGGGGCTTGTCGGCGGAGTCAGACTGATCATTTCAAGACTATCTGTGGTCCACGTGGGTGGAGCTGCTGTGTGCTCCCACACGGTTTGGGCAGAGTGTGGGGTGTGCATTTATGCTTCTCATGTGGAGTTGTCCATTTAGGTTTTCTGATCTTTGATTTTCTTAGTGTAACGTGACTTTTCTACCTTGTTCGTTTTTTGTCTGGATGGGAAGGTCAAGGCCCACTGAAGTCTTTTTATTGGGGGCTGCCTGTGGTCTGTTCTTGCCCTCACCCCATCAAGAGGGCTGTCCCATCCTCTTCCCCTCACCCTGGCTCCAGGGACGTTTCTGTGGCTGTCCCTCTGATAGAAAGGGCTTCAAATGCTCTATCTGTTGAACTCTAGTAAAGAGGTTCACGTCCCTCGTCCCTGCCCTACCCCAGTTCTCTGAGAAGTACCATCCTCTGGGGCGAGGGAGCTGAGTGAATCACAGTTTCTCCAAGCACTAAGAGCTCTCCTTTCCAACAACACCTGCGGCCAGCATCGTGTCTTACCTGCTTGTGCAGCACTCTGATTCGGGTCTGTCTGCCCTACCAGACTGCTGGCTTCACAAAGGCAGAGATGACGTCTGTTCTCCGCTGTCTAGCACCTAGCACACTGCCCATGCTCAATGCACTTCTGAAAATGAATGAGCGAATGATGGAAAGTTCTCCAGCCTAAGGCGGCTGCCTTGCAGACTGGGGGCTGCTCAGCAACCTCCCTTTCTAGGGCCAAGTTCACTGTGCTTTTCCCACAATTGCAGAAGGTCCTGGGAGCCTTTTACTTACCAACCTGGATAGTCCTGGATTAGCAACCCTCTGTAATCAAAACCAAATCAACTCCCACCTTTTTAGTGCCCAAGGCAGCCGATGTAGCCACAGGAGGCGGCCAGTGTGAGAGGTCTCTGTAATTTACAAATCGCCATCTTAGGGAGAAAGTACCTGCTCAGAGCCTAACAGTTAAAATGATAACAGTATCTTGCCTTTTTTTTTTTGTACAGGAGTGTGAACTTATTCAATGATATGAAAAAAGGAATGAAAGTAAAATGAACACTGAGCACTATTTATGTTCCCGCAGTTCCTTTTCTGTTGCTTATGCATGTCCTCTGAATATTTTTGTATAGTCGTGATTTACCTCTGTGTTTCTGCTTTACGTTATTTTTGCATTTAGAGTTGCTGCGTGCACACATTTCCATGTGTTGGCGGTTCATATGCTTTTTTTTTCTTTTTGCTATTCTGAAGCTTGATCTTTTAATTTAACTCTGAGTCTTGTATAACTTTGTAAACAGCAGACATAGAGCTACCTTGTTATTTTTCACGGTTGGGTAGTGTCTGCTGATGGATGAACCCTGATGTTCAACCAGCCCCCTATTGGTGGACATTTAAGTTGTATCATTTAAAATAAAAATATGTAATATATTAAAAAACCCCAAAAACTCACAATATTGGAGTAAATATCCTCAAATAAAATTTTGTTTATATGCTGGAATTTATCTGTAAGATAAATTTCTGACAGTGGAAATGCTGGATTGGAGAATGTGAACACATAAAATTAAATTATCCCCCAGGGTCACCTCCAAAATGATTGTGCCAGTTTACATCTTCAGTAATCCATTTATTTGTTAACGACGGCATGCTATTATGTATGTTGATATGCCATGGTTTATTTTACCATTTGCCTATTGCGGAGCCTTTGAGTTATTTCCCATGATTTAGGCTGTCATTTTTAACCTTTGTTAGTCATAAGATTATCTTACCTTTTCAAATCCTCTAAATTGAGTCTTGTACTCTTGAGAACTTCAGAGTTAGGTCGAAATAGGCAGTGTTTCATCGTGATTGTTTTCCATACTATGCAGACGAGAACACTGAGGCTCCGGGGTTAGATGTTTTGTCCAGAATTATGCCGACAATGGCAGAGCTTGGCTGAGAGCCATCTCCCGCGTCCCCCTGCAGGGCACTTTTCCCCTGCCACGCGTGGAGAAGGTACTGACCCGGCCTGCTCTGTAGCAGGTGGGAGTGAGCAAGGCGTGGTGAACTCCATTTGTACCTTCCAGCTCCCTCCTTTCCTGCTGCAGTCCCTGGGATGGGGTGACCTTGCTGACTTATCCGGCAGGGCTGGGCACTGAGGTGACAGTCCTGGGGCTGATGGCGGAGGGCCCATCCAGCCCCCTCCTGTTCCTCTTGGTTCTCAGGGCTCCGCTTTTGCAAGCCTGTTGGCTGGAGTCTTGGTCTGTGGCTATGGGACAGACTGACGCGGAATTGCTTCCTTCACCAGGGGTTTGAATTGGGTCCCTTGGCTCTGTGCACAGTCTCCAACCACTGGAATCTATCAGCCACAAGTTTCTAGGAAATGCAAATTAAGGGCCGCAAAAGAAATTCAAGAGGATTTTGAAGAAGAGAAACACTAGGATGAGCTTTCTCTGAAGGCTTCTGGAGAAAGGGTCCTTGGGGGATTAGAAACCGCACAAGAGTTAGGAGACTAGCTTTTCTCTGCCCAGACAGCCACTGGCAAGGTGACTTAACTTGCACGGAAGCTATTTTAAAGGAGGGCGTGGGTTGTGCCACTGCAGTGTATAGTCTACAGGGTAGAGCCAGAGGCCAATGGCTCCCCAGTTCTGGTTCTAGCATACTTAACCCCTTCAAACTCAGAGCTCCTATGAGCACCCCTCCACCCTTCAACAATGGTACCCTACCTAGAGGCCTAAGAGCTAAATGTACCGGTCCTCAGTGTGACCTATCTTATGTAGACATCACTCTGATTAGCCCATTCAAGTAATTCAGACTAGAGTGAGAATAACAGATAGGAAATATATTATAATATCATTTAAGTGAAATGCCAGGAAACTCAGAGATATCTCTACTTGGTGAAATATGAGACAGATCTTTGAGGTATGGATTCCTTTCAGTTTAACATTTTTATTCCTTAAGCTAATAGCTTCCTGTCCTTCTGTGTCCTCCCCTGCCTCCCCAGCCCCAATGCCACTCCTTGCCAGCTGGAAACCGAGCAGTCAGCAACTTGTCATTTCTTTTTTGGAAATCTGTCAACTCTATGATGGGCTCTTTCAATCAACTGAAATGCTGTATAGTTTACTGGAACCCAAGCAGATGAAAATGTCTCCTAGGAGGACATGGTTTCTGTCTGGAGGCCCTTTCCTTTCGGGATGTCACACGAAGCCCTTGTCTCCCATCCTCCTCCTGCAGGTTCCGATGAGGAGTACATCTATATGAACAAAGTGACTGTCAACAAGCCACAGAATGCTGAGTCTCAAGACAAAGGTATGGGCTGGGCCAGCTGATAGGATGGTGCCCTGGGACGGGGACAGCACAAGGCTCCGTCCCATCCCACCCCGCGCCCTCCCAGCCTGCACACATACAGGCCCAGTGGAGTTATTTTTGGAAGCCACATTTTGGTTGGTGGTATTTTGGGTTGATGTATTTTTGGGATGTTTCGATGCACCACCCCCTCCTTGCCCATTGGATAAGGAATCTGGCCCTAAAACATCTTGGCTGTTCCCAGCATCATCCCAGGAACAGGAAGTCATAATTCAGATGTTCGAAGAAAGCAGCTGTGTGTGGTGCTGGTCCCACGGCTTTATGTCTTTTGATCGAAGTCTGTTTTGGGGAGGAAGGGGGAGAAATGGTGGTGTCAGCAACTGCCTTAGTAGTCAAAGATGATGTTCGGAGGTGTTCTCTTTGGCAGAACAATTTCTCTTTTGTTGGAAGGACGTATGGTGTCTTCCATGGTGCCCTACTCTTCCGCTCTGTTCTGCTCTCCTCTTTTCCCTTAAATCCTCCAGCAGTGGGTCTTGCAGGACCCCAGGGAGGCCCAGAGGTTTGCAGAGCTGCCCCGTTGCAGAGGAGCAGGGGAAAAAAGCTCCGTCTCCCAACTCCCAAGCCTGTGACTCACATGCACCACAAAGCACTCAATCCTGCTAAAGGCTTGTCTTCCAGACATCAGCCACCAAAGCTGATGGCTTTGGTGGCCAGACCTGCCTGAGCCTGCCCCGGGGTGGCTGAAACATTCAGGCTCAGAAGAGCTTTTGGTGCTTTCCTTAAAAGTACACAGAGGGCTGGTGCCCTAACTTCCTCGGTGTGGCTTCTCCACCTCCTGCCCCTCCGCCAAGCCTGGGTCTGAGCAGAACTCAGCCAGATGAGATTTGCCACTCTGCCCGGTGTCGTTTACCTTCCGGGTAAACTGTGGGAGGGAAGAGCCATAATCACAGGGTCGGTGCTGAGCGTGGCTCAATATAGTGACCGCTGGGCAGCTCCTTTGCTCCCCAAAGCTCTGTGGCTAGACCATTTTTGACAAGGGGCAGGTAGGAGGGCAGGTGCAGAGCCAGCCAGAAACCCCAAGCCCATGGCTGGGGCATTACTGCACCCTATTCTTGGAGGAAAAACAACTTCGGCTCCAGGGGCTGCCTGCCTGGGTAATTAACACCTGCTCAAATAGAACTCGCATTCCCGGGTAACGAGACTCCGCCGTGGGGCAAGGCACCCCTCACCAAAACCTCCTCTTCTGCCCGCAGCGCCTGAGGAGCAGGGCCCGCTGACCAACGGGGAGCCCGGCCAGCACTCCTCGGCCCCTCAGAAGAGCCTTCCGGACCTCCCGCCGCCCAAGATCGTAAGTGTCAGTCCAGGACCCCTGATTTCCCTGATGTGGGCCCCTTGAACTTCCAGTTGTCTTCACAGGTGTCAGTCCGCCAAGCGTCTGGCATTTTCTGAGCACCTACTGTGTGCAGGGCCTGGGGCAAGGCACTCGGAGGGACAGAGCAAAAGTAAGCCTGCCTGCGGGGGGTCTGCTCAGGGCCACAGTACTCCCGACGCTGAGGGTGACAGGCCTGGGGAGATCTGACCAGTGCCTTTGTCGAGTGCCACCATGGGCCCCACAGTACCCGGGCTCTTTCCCCAGCGCCCTGTGAGTGAGGCCATGGACAGCTGTGGTCACCAGCTCAGGCCACGGTGACCTTTGAAAAATTTATAAATCATATCACACTGCACTTCCTGCTTGAAACCCACCAGTGGTTCTCATTAAAGAGAAAAAACTCCCCATTCCTAAACATGGCCCCAGAGCCGACTGTCTGGCCCAGGTGCGGGTCCGGCCTCACCGCATGGGCTCCTCGCTGGCCTCCCTTCTGCTTCGAAATCGTGCTGTTCTGGTCAGTCGTGTCTCAGGGGCCTTGCGCTTCCCGGGCCCTGCCGCCGCCTCCTCTCTCCGAAGTTCTTAGACTTTCCCTGACCTGGCTAAATGAGGCCCCTTCCCCTTCCCCGCCAGGCCGCCATCTGCCCACCACCCAGGTACCTGCTCCTGGCGCTTGCCACTGTGGGAACAGTCTGGTTTATTATTTGTCTCCTCCCCCAGATGTCAGCTCCTGCGGACAGGAATCACGTCTCTCGTTTCCTACTTCGTGTCCAGTGTCTGCTCACAGAGTGGGCCATACACAAACATTCACTTACTTGGATAGATGGGTGGAATTATAGAATCGTACGGATCTGCATTCAGCTCCCAGCCCTGCCAGGAACTAGCTCTTTGACTTTGAGCAAGTTATTGAAAGACTCTAGCCCTTTGTTTCCTGATGTTTCCATGGAAGAAATGCTCACATCTGTCTCATCAGATGGTCTCACTCTATGGGCTAAGGCTGTGCGCCACCCGGCACCGTGTGTGGCATACTCTGCTCGTGTTCAAATCTGTGTTTGAAGGATGAGGAAGCCCAATGTCACACAGCCTCAAAGTGGCAGGGTCAGAATTTGAAGCCAGGTTCTTCCCTCTCTAAGGCATGGCTGGGGAGGTGTCCTGGGGAAGGGATGGGGCCCTGGGTAGGAAGGATTTATATGGGTAGCAGGGGGCCTGGGGCCAGGGCCAGCACCAGCTGACTCCACGGTCACTGAGCTCCTGCCAAGTGACCCATCACCTGATCTGTGGGCTCATGTCACTGCTGAGGGGCTCCCAACCCCAGAGTGGCTCTGGACTGACCCCTTCGTTCACACCTTCCTGAGGGGTGGCAGGGTTCCTCAGCTGCTCTTTCCTGTGGCCGCAGCTGGGGACACTAACGCCACCATGTTGGGCAGGCGGGGCAGTTGTGGAGTGCCTGGGACCATGTCCCACTGCATCAGGTCCCTCGAGCTGGGTAACAGCTGGAGGGGACTCTGTCTTGGGCTGGGTGAGACCTGATGGATGGATCTGGGTTTCTGGGTGTCCCCTGTGATGCTAACGATGCTGGTGACTGCCACACCCTGAACCTCTACCCATTCCAGGCACGCAGACACGATCCTCCCGCCCCCCATCAAGGGATGGGTGTTTTCGTTACCGCTTTTCACACGAAGGAACAGGCTCAGAGAGCCAAGGTCCGTCCCACACCTGGGAGGTGGCAAGGCCAGGATTTGAATGCAGGTTTGTTGGTTCCCAGGCCCTGCTGCCCCCCTGACTGTGCTCGCGTCCGGCAGAGCAGCGGGGCACGCTGCGTTCCCTCCAGCGCCAGGCTCCCTCGTGCTCAGCCCCATACTTGGGGCGGGGGTGGGGAGAGGCACGTCCCCTCTGCTGTCCCCTCCGCTGCTGATGCCTTTAACCACAGGTTTTCTGGTGCGGCCCAGGCATCACTCGCCAGGTAGTGGGGACAGAAAGGTGCCTGTTGTGAGCCAGGGCTGGGACTGTCCTATTCTGACCCAGGGACCATTTGGCTTTTGCCGAGTGAAAGTGTCACTGTCTGCCATGCCAGGGGCAGCTGCCTGTGGGCTGACACCTGGTGGCTAGGGGCATTCAGCAGACACAGTCCCACTGGCACCGAGTACTGAGTGTCCTAGAGATCTGTGTTTTACGAACACAGTCTGGGACCCAGTGATAGTTATAAATTAATTGGGTCACAGTGGGTCCCAGCAGCCCCTGGGATTCTGGGATGGTTTTCACTGCTCCTCCGCCAGTCGTCTGTACTGTTGGCACCAAGGGTCTCCAAGCGAAGGAGGGGAGAGAAGGGGAGGGCACGTGGCTCTTTCTAGAGCAGACTTCCTGGGCTGTAGTCTGTGACTGGGCTTGTCTCCCTGTCTGAGAGAAACCTGGTGTGGAGTTGGGGAAATTGTCCCTTCCCAGGAATAGCATGATCCCAGGGTGGCCTTGCAGCCCGTGGTAATTGCTCCTGGGACAGCCTCCAGGCCCGGGGGAGGTTTCCAGCCAAGCCGGCTAACCGTACAGTAAAGCCGGCCCCCTCCCTGCTGGCGCACTCGGGAGCAGGACAGCAGGGCGCGGACCGCGGCTCCCTGGCCTGGTTCCTCCTGGTGCTGTGCGAGGCACCCCTCCACCCCAGGGGCTCCAGATGTGGCGTGTGGAAGCCAGTGGCGTCAGCTGGGGATTCGCCCCTCCCTGTCCACACGCGTGCACACGTCTGCACTCCCTCCGGCCTCCTCTCGGGTCAAGTCAGGCTGAAGCCGCCGTGACTCTCAGTGCGAGGCCCCCAGAGCAGCGGTGTCGGGGTGGCGCCCTGTCAGTGGCTCTGAGGGAGGATGGGGACCAGGCAGCAGCAGCCTCACAGGGAAGGAGTGTGGCAGCTCAAACCCGGCCTGAGCCTGGAGTGACCTATGACCTCTCTTCCTCAGACAGACAAAACCCATCCCTTCCTACCCTGACCCCAGAGCTTTCTAATGCCAGGGAGGCTCGGCCCCCAGCCCCGAGTGCCGGGCCCCACCCCACCGCCGGCCCTGGGCTCACTGGAGGCCCCAGGGCCTCCGTGCATGTGGCTGGGCCGGGCTATGCCTCTGCCTGCTGCAGGCTTGGTGCCCGCTGCCCACGATCCCTGAGTCTCTCTTCAGTTGCTTGGGTCCTTCCTCCAACCGCCACAGACTCCGTGCAGATCAGACGCGTCCCGCGATGGAAGGGGCAGCCAGGGGTCTGGAGCATCCTCGTGGGTGTGGACGGTGACTCAGGCAGCTGTGGCCTTTCCAGGCCTCTGCACAGCCAGGTGCTCGCTGTAGGAGAAACAGATGTTTGCTGGCCACCGTTTATGCTCTGGCTAGCACAGCCACCTCCACCCCATCTCCCCCGTGAGGCCTGAACACGCGTTGGCTCTGGCCTCAAGGGAGCTGCCCTGTGGGAGAAGCAGCTTTTTCCACAAAAGGACATTGCCATGGTCAGTCTGGGGGGCCAGGGCTGGCCTATCTACTAAGCCCCACTGAGAGCCTTCTGCAGTGCACCGTGGGGCAGGGTGCTTAGAGCTGTGGGGCCACCTCACGTCATCTGGGCTCCCCCTTATCTAACCTAAGTGAGGGCTTGGCCAAGTCTGATCCACCACCTGTTCCAGTGAATAAAGCTTTATTGGAACACAGCCGCGCTTATTTAGCTGCGGCCGCTTTCGCGCTACAGCAGTAGAGCTGAATAGCTGAGATAAGAGACCCTGAGTAGCTCACAAATCCCTAAAATATTTACTGTTTGGCCCTTTTCCAAAAAATCTGCCGACCTCCTGAACATGACTTTCTTGCCTCGTCCCTTCTGGGAACAGTCAGAAAGTTATTTTAGGCCTTGAAGTCAAATCTCTTCTGCATCTTCATTGAACACACACAATCTCCACCATCATGACGATAATTAAAACCATAGCGCTTTCTCCCTAACCCGAGAGATGAGGATCTCTCTCCTCTGACCTCTGATAATAGGTCATTGTCCTATTATGTGTCTGTAACTATGTGACTGTCTTCTGAGTTGTTATGTAAAACATTTCATCACTTACCTGGATCCAGGCCCCATCTTTTCCCTCTGCATCCTGCAGAGCTGGGTGTCCTGTTCACACCCTTTAGAGAGGCAGAGCTTGGTATAAGCCCGGCCAGGTCTCTTTACACACCCCAGGGTACACTGGTTCATCCTCCACCAAAAACGTGAACACAGAACTTTTCACCCTTTGATATTTTTACATTTTATTTTTAGGTTAATAAAAACTGATATTTATTGAGTATTTTACAGTGCTGAGCACAGTTTAATCCTTAGCCCTTTAGCCCCATGTGACAGACATATCTATTCTATTTTACACAGAGCCCAGAGTGGTCAAGCGAGTCACCCAGAGTCACACAGCAAGGATGTGGCAGGGTCAGGATTGCTCACCTGTGCCCTACACCACCTCTCCGTATTGATCCATTTACAGATTTTGCAGCGTTGACCTAAAGGAAAAAAAACTGAGGCAAAATTAACATAAGTAGGGAGTTTATTTGGGCCAAGTTTGCCCCAATATATGCTCTGATTAGCAGCAGTTACAAGTGGGTTTTTAAAGGAAAAAGGAAGAGGCAGTCCCTAAGTCGTTTACCAATAATTTACATTAAAATAACATAAGCTATTGATTGGCTAAACATTGTTCTTTGTACCACAGATTCCAGGAACTTGAAGATAATGGGTGAGGCGGCTAGTCTGAAACAAAATGCCTTTAAACAATTGCCCCCAGGTATGGGGGGCATGTGACTGAGGTCCCATACTCCTGTCTCTCTGGGCCGGGTAAATTTTGCATACCGCACATGGCTCAGACTGCTCTCAGCTATTTTTCTTTCCTCAGCAGAGACAGGCTTAGTCTGTCTGGTGCCCTACCCGAGAGGGGACAGGAGGCCCCCAGTGACAGACCCTGTGGTGATAATGACCCATGGGGACCTCCTGCAGAAAGGCGAATTCCTCCCTTTGTCCTGTTCTAATTGCGAGAATCTCCACTCAGGTCTCAGGTGGCAGAGGGGACCCACCTCCTGGCAGAGAGAAGGGTCCCAGCACCACCTGATGGGACAGGGCGTCTTGGCGGCTGGAGCTGGAGGCCTAGTTCACTCAGGACGCACAGGCCCTAGGACCCGCTGGGGAGACCTTACCGCTGCTGAGACGAGAGGACACTTCCTCTGAAGGTTAAATCTGTGAAGATTGGACAGGGCACAGGCCTGTAATGCCAGCGCTTTGGGAGGCTGAGGTGGGAGGATCGCTTGAGGCTAGGAGTTCAAGACCAGCCTCAGCAACATGGCGAGACTGTCGCTACAGAAAAGTAATAAATAAAAAAATAAATCTAAGAAGTCTGAAAACCTGGATTTAAACCAAGTGACATTAACGCTAGGGTCTGTGTAAATAGACTGTAGACTCCAAGCCACATAGGACGTGGCTCTGCGGACCCTGGTGGTCTGCCCTGGGAGGAGCTAGAACAGACACTCTCGCAGCTCGTGCCAAGACGGCTTTCTGGATCCCTGGCCTTACCGCCGCCGCCTCAAAAGGCAGGGCAGGAATCCCCAGGGCCCAGGGCTCTGTCTGAGCTCAGGGCCCTGCAGGGTCCTTCCATTGCTGCCTCCCCCAGCTCCCCACCAGCTTCCCCCGCTTAGAGCGCCAGTGCTTTCCTTTGGGGCCTCCCCGCAGGCCCGGGCCTGCCCCTCCCGGGGAGTGCCCAGCACAAGGACTTCTCAAAACCAAGAGCGGGAATGCACTGCTGCTTCTGCCATTTCTGCTCCCAAGTCTGTGCATGTTCCCGTGGCCCTCCGCAGGGGTGTCGTGATTCAGGACGCCGGAGACCCACACTCACGGTGCTTACACATTCACGACCTGCCTCTCCTGATACTAACGCCACAATCTACCTCCCCTGCTCTTCTTAAACGGTAGTTTATTGAGGCACAGCTTCATGATCTAGTGCCCATTATACAGGTGGAATAGGACTTACATATGTTCTTTAATCTACGCAAAGTGCATGTGCTCACCCCCACCCCGCACAAGAAGCCCAGAGTCATCTTTTAGACGCAGCTGAAAGATTCTGTCCTCCGTGTATCCTTCCTTGGTCCTAAATGTTCCTCACACCCTCCTCTGGTTCCCAGAGAACTCGACCTTGTCTGTTGGTACAGCACTACTGATCAGGACCTGTTGAACATTCCCCACCTAGTTAAGTCTTCCTTGGGGAGGACTCCTGGAGTCTTGCTGCATCCTTCGCAGCTTGAACCCAGGAGCCATCCGATATTTACTGAACAAGAGATTGAACTACATTTACATTATGGTAAAAGTTTGGGATTGAGAAACCTGGTTCTCTTCCTCCCTGTGCCATTCGTTTATCTTTTTAGAAAGTATATTCTATTTAAAAGCCATAATAGCTACCACAGCAGCCTGACACTCTCTGGACCTTAAGTGCATGATGTGTCCTGCACATGAGGATATTTTGTGTGTAGTGCGGGGTTTGAGCCTCATTTTGCGGGGGGGAAGCTGAGCCTTCGCTCGGTTACACACTGCACCCACAGCCCTTCCTCTGGCTGCAAACCAAACGCTGTGGCCCGGCGACTGATGGGATTCGTGATGTTCTGTGTTCTCCCTCCCAGCCCGCCGAAAGGCCAGTCGGATACTGCTTTCTTCTGGACTTCCCGCTCCTTCCACTCAGAGGGTTCATCCGAAGTTGCTCTCGGTGTATGATATCTGAAAATATTTGTTTTATTTGTTCATGCCACAGATTCCAGAGCGGAAACAGCTCGCCATCCCGAAGATCGAGTCGCCGGAGGGTTACTACGAAGAGGCTGAGCCTTACGACACATCCCTCAATGGTACATCCCAGCGGCCAGGGCTTGGAGGGGGTCTAGCTGCTCATCCTGAGCTGGAAGGCAGAGGTCAGTCTGGGCTGCTGTGACCAGAGGGTGTGATCCAAATTGAGCGCTGGCCGCAGAGCATTCGGCCTTCAGTCTGAATGGGGAGGCAAGACCCACAGCAGACGGGGCCCGTCTGCAAGGAGGGGCCGGGGATGGCACACAGTGAGCAGGTTGACTGTGTGTGAGGTTTTCTGTGTTCCCACTTGCATGTTGCTGGAGTCAGCACAGAAAGGTGACAGAGGAGGGGAGTGTCGGTCAAGGGGCCCAAGGCCCTGGTCAGCAGTGGAGGTGGCGGGCAGGCTCAGCGTCCACGTTCTTTCCCTGGACTCACTGTGCTCCTGCTGTGTACCAGGGACGGGAGCCCAGTCGTCACAGCACTCAGATTCACTGAGAGAAGACAGACAACACATGAACAGAATGTGTCAGCAGTGATAAGTGTTGGGATGGAGAGGGTGTTGTTTTGGACAGGGAAGGTCTCTCCGACAGCATGACCTTGAGCAGATGAACGAAGTGGGGAGCGGGTAGGGCGGATACATGCAAGAAGAACTTTGCAGACAGAAGCACGTATATGCAAAGGCCCTGAGGCAGGAGAGCTCTGAGTGTGTCTGAGGAACAGCAGGAGCAGGTGGGGCAGGGGAGAGTGACAGGAGATAGGGATGCAATGGGAACACATGGCCACAGGGAGGACTTTGGCTTTTCCCCGAATGGGGCAGACTGTACACCTCTGGAAGGTTCCTTAGTGACTGGCCTGACTCAGGTATTGAAAAGATGCCTCTGGATGCCTCAAACAGACTGTGCAGGCAGAGCTCACACTGACACCCTCTGTGCTTGGCCAGTGGCTCTCAGCCTGAGGCGGTTGGACCAAAAGTGCTCTTGGTGTGGGGATGCCACCACCCAGGAAGGCGCCCGAGGTTCTGGAGGAGGTGGCTGTGACCCCAGTCTCCAGGGCAGCTGGACTCTGGTCCTCCCCTCTGACCTTCTCCGTCTCTTTCCTTCCTTCCGAGGTAAAAGGGCTTTGAAAGCATAAAGCAATTTGCAAACTAAAAGGCGAGGGCCTGGGGCCGGGTGGATGTGAATGAACTTGGCAGAAGGGGGGCGTTGTTGGTTCCATAAAGACCAGGACCAGGGATGAGGTGGGACCAGGCAGGTGGAGGACGTGGATTCTTCTCCCCTTCCTCCTTCACACTTCCCGACTGCCTCTGGGCCGTGTGGGAGGTGAGGCCTGCTCAGACTGAGGCTCCTCTATTCTAAGAGGCTGGCTTTGTGGGCAGACGTCACTTGGCATGAACCCACTGAGCATGTGAGGTGTTGCAGAGTCACAGGTCGGGCTGTGATTTCAGACCAAAGCTGAGGGCGCGGTGCTGCTGTCTGGGTGCACATTGAAGGTGGAAACGGTGACTCATCCGGTGAGCACCCCCGTGTGTCTTAAGCCCGTCTCTCTCAGGTGTGGCCTGGGCCAGCAGGGGCCTGCCTCCCAGACGCACCCGGGGCCTGCGTGTGGGGCAGACGCTCCACCTCAACACAAACAAGTGGTCAGAAAGACCAGGCTTCCTGGTGTTTGTCTCTGGACCGTTGAGTTCATATTGGTTGTGGCCAGGACTAGTGGGGTCATCCCAAGGACAGCTTGAACTCACCGTGCGGAGAAGGTCAGAACGACTCCGAGATGGAGGAAACCCAGCTGTGGAAATGAATAGCAGGGTGGGCGGGAGATGGCCCTGCTTTGTCCTGCCAGGCTGAGGCCTGGGGTGACTTGGGGAGAAGCGGTCACACTTAGCACAGAGGGAGGGCTTCACCTGTGTTGCAAGCCAGCCTGGCCTCAGTTCCCGCCTGTTGTCCCCCGCACCTGTGTGAGCAACGTGACATGCAGGTTGCAGCAGGAGGGGCGAGCTTTGGGCCCCCCGACCTTGCTCTAGCTGGTTGGCCAAACGGCGATTTTACTGACATCTGCAAAAGGCCAGTTGCTTGGATTCTTGTCCTGCTTTGTCAGCCGTGTCCCCACACCGCTCACTGGGTCAGGGTCCCCTGGTCCAAGCTTTCAGCAAGTGTCTTGATGGCCTGTGCTGTAGATATTGGGGTCTGTCCTGCTTGCCCGAGACGTGAGATACTTCATTGACGGTGTCTTGTGCTCGGGTAACAAATAACCCCCTGGTTTCAGTTGATAGTAACACAATAAAAATCTGTTTCTCACTCGTAGAGCGGTTCAACATGGGCATTACTTGTCCTCATGTACTTTGGGTACCCAGGTTCCTTCTGTGTTTGGCTCAGCCACCTCTAGGGCCACAGAACCCTCTGCAAAGAGAGAGGGAACCCCTCTGCTTCCTGAAAGCACCAACCAGAGTGACCACATCACTTTTGCCCATCTATTGGTGATGAGTAGTCACTTGTCATCTCTGGATGTGAAGGGGACTAGGAAATGATGTCCTTGGCTGGGCTGTGGCCTCTCCTGACAGGCCTGCACCTCCAAGACAAGCACTGACCTCTGGTAGGCAGGCAGCCGTGTCACCCATCTGGGTCTCTCTATTGGTGGGTCTGCACTTGGGTGTGTCCCTCTCTTCATCTTGTCTCTCTCCTCTCGCCTCTGTCTGTGCCTCTGGATATCGTGCAGGTCATTCTGGCGGATTTCTCCCCACTGGAGTCCCCAGATGGGCGCAGGTGCCTGAAGGAGTCATTTACGCCACAATCACCTTGGGTACTGCTTGTCCCCAGAGCTGGAATGTCGGTGATTCCTTGCCTGCTGCCTGGCTCTAAGATGGGTGCATGCCCGGAGGGTGGCCACGGCCCTCTCCCCGTCCTTGTGCATGGGCCCTGCATGGGCACGCCTGTGTGCCATCCTTCCAGGGGAGTGACTTCCTTTGCCTTCCACAGACCCTTGCCTGTGGCATCAGAACACATGGCCGAAAGAGCCAAGCGTGCATGGTCATTCTGCCCTCGGGTCGCGAGGACTTCCCGCAGGACACGGTGGGGTGCAGTTCGCCTGGGCATGGCTGACCTGGGTGGAATTATCTGAGCGTCCTGCCTTTCGCTCCTGCTCATCCCGCACCCCCTGGCAGCCAAGGATCTGCTTTAAGAATAGCCTGCATTTATGGCATGCTGTGATTCTCCTTAGGGATAGATAAAATTGCTAATACATTTGCCTAAGTTTCCTCCAAGCTACTCCAGGATTACGATGTGCTGTTTGTAGTTAGCTCCCTGATGCCCCCATGAAACACACACGGCAACCCCAGAAGCACAAAACAGTGGGAATTTACCCAAATCATTCACACTGAACTCTGCAGCCTCCCTCTGTTAATTTTTGTTACCAAAGGAGGAATCCCAATGGCGTTGGAAATGTTGTGTATTACACAGATAATACAATACTGACAATGAGGAAAAATTTTTTTAAATGACCCGGATCCGACCACCCTATCAAATCAACTGTTTTACTATAAACTCTCTGTTGCCTTACAGCGCTCATCTATTTGCGTACATAATTCTAATCGCGCTTTCTCCTCTTATCGGCATATCTTAGGGAATTGATCAAGCTGCAGACTAGTTTTCGAGTTTTAATCGACTGCATGGTATGGTCCTAGCTGGATGAAATTATACTTACCCAGTCCCCTTCTGCTAACCATTAAACAGCAACTGAATGAGTATCTTAGTGCATGTAACATTTCTCCTTCCTCTTTTATAAAAAACTAGTTTCCTAGGATAAACGCCCAGGACTGGGATTATTGGGTCAAAGAATATGGATGTTCTAATGGCTCTTGAAACAACAGGCTCCCAGACTGCTTTCTGAGAGGCTTGCGTTAATGTACGGTGCCACCCCCGATAGGAAAGCTCAGGGTTCCTCACTGGGTAGGACTGCTATTTTCAATCTTTGTGTATTTAATAAGTATAAAATTATAAACTGTGCAGCTTTTTTATTAAGCCAGAAAGAAGAGTACTACCACACTGCTTTTAAAGAAAACTGATATTAAAATATTTAAAGTGTTGTTTTTAGAAACATTAAAACACAATAAAACACATTTTCGTTGGCAGCATAGCTAGAATAACTGTTGTAGGGGCCTCGTTCTGATTTCCTATGTTTGAATTCAAACGTGGTTCTGCTTCCTTAGTATGCGGGAACCCAGCTGTGCAGGTAGAGGGGCCTTCTGGAATCTTCTGGGAAGTCTAAGGGCCCCATAGGCTGACCCTCTTCTGAAGGCGTCATGGGATGAAAGGGGAGTGTCGTTTGGCCTGACTCGAGGGAGTGGGACAAGGTCTGCTATGTAGAAGTCACAGGGGAATGGCTGTTGGGCCCATTTTCTAACTGTCAGGGCTGCCCAGGAATGGAAGGGAGTGTCAGTGAGCAGGAGGTAGTGAGCTCCCCGTCCGTGGGGAATTCAGGCGAGCATCAAGGTTACAAGAGACAGGGTTCCTGTGCTGAGCGGAGCTTGGACTGAGATCCTGAGGTTCCCTTTTCTCCACGCCTGGCTTTTCAGGGATAGATGAATAGACAGATTTTCTTCACATGGTGTTTGTTGGCCTTGAATAGAGCAGTGGGGCCAGGGAACAGAACAGCCCCTGCAGGGTGGTGGGGGCAGGAACTAGACAGTGAGGCAGGTGGAGTGTGCACCTAATTTGTGCTCTGATAAGTTTTGGGATTCTTTCAAAACAAAAACATGAGGTTGGCTCGTTGCCAGAGATAGAGGAAGGGTTAAGTCAGCACCAGGTAAAAGGAGCTACGTTTGTGCCGGGAGGTGTTCAGTGCAGCAGCGAGGAGAGTCCACTGGGGATTCTGAAAAGGGGCGTGACCAGGAGAGGGTATTTGGGGGTGGGAAGCTGGCCCCTTCCCAGAAAGCATTTCCTGCTGTGGTTTATTTGCCTTTTACTGCTGAGGAGCCAAAGCCCCTTCCCTGGACCCAGGACAGAACCGGACCCAGCCAGGTGTGTGGCTATCAGAGGCTGCCATGTGCACAGCTCAGAGGTGGCTCAGATGGCCTTCCTGGGCCCTTAGAAGGACAGAGTGCCAGGCCTGGAAGAATCCAGAAACATCCCCACCCCACTTGCTTCCTCCTTTCCTTGAGGACACAGGGCCCAGCATGGGGAATGGCCTTCTCAGGGGCAAGCAGTCATCTGTGGGGCAGTGGTGTCTTCCCTGGGGTTCCCATGGAGACCGACATGACAGGATTTGAGGAGGGCATGGGAGAGACTTCTGGTTTTGAGTTATTTGTGTCTTGTGGCCAGAGGCTGTATCCCAGAAGCTTGGCTGAGGGGGTTTGGGGCAGGGCAGCCAGCCCTGGCCTGTGGCTGGTGGCCACCGGGCTGGTTTGAGGGCAGGGATTGTGGCCTGGGTCACTGCTGCTCCTGTCTGCTGCCCACTGCCCTGCCCGGCGGGCCCTGACTGGGCGGGTCTTCCTTGCAGAGGACGGAGAGGCCGTGAGCAGCTCCTACGAGTCCTACGATGAAGAGGACAGCGGCAAGGGCAGGTCGGCCCCCTACCAGTGGCCCTCCCCGGAGGCCAGCATCGAGCTGATGCGCGACGCCCGCATCTGTGCTTTCCTGTGGCGCAAGAAGTGGCTGGGGCAGTGGGCCAAGCAGCTCTGTGTCATCAGGGACACCCGACTGCTGGTCAGTCCACCCACGTTGTGTCCCTCACTTCTCTCCTGGGGGGCAGGGGAAGGGAGACGGGGTGGTGCCTGATGCCAGAGGATTCCAGCCTGTTCGTCTCGGGTTTTAACCTCTCCCTAACCTGAAGCGTGTGCAGGATTCTGTGTGTGGATGAGCGGGCTTTTGTGAACTAGAAAGGTCTAGTGGTTTTCATCAGGCTCTCAAAGGGGGCTGTGATCCCCACCTCTCCCCATCCTATCCCATCCCATCCTCCTTTTTCTGAGAGAGGCACATCTTCTGTCCCCTGGTCCTTCCTCACGGCCCGACCAGCCCAGGCCCTGGCCCCCAGCCTCAATTCTGGCTGCTGCTGTCATCTCTGCAGCACGACGAGCACAGATATCTTCTCAGAAGCTACAATATTTTGAATTACTGATTAAGGCAAGATCATTAAAGGAATCAGAAGATATGACTCTGACAACAATCCTGTCTCCTGCTATTTTAAGTTAAAATTCCCAGTTTTAACTTCTCCTGACTTGAAGTGCCATGGCATTACTAGAAATCCCTTTTCTCCATGGTTACAAGGGGCTCTGCTCTGTGCAAATGTCATTTCAGGTAATCCTGGTAAGTGAGCCTGTAAGGACCCCATTTTACAAACGGGGCACCAAGGGCAAAGCCTTGTCTCCGATAGGGGAAGAACGTCCCTTTCTTTCTTGGCTAACACATCGTCTTCCTAACCACAAGTTAGTCTGTGTGCCCTGGGCATCCTTTACTGAGGAAGCCATGAAGAGAGGCAGAGAGGGGAGAAACGGAGAAAATGTGTTCCGCGTTGGCCACGTGGAAGCTGTCCACGGGGGGCAGATGTTGGGAGCCCATGAGGCCTGGAGCAAGTGAGAGCCATTTGCACAGCAGAGTCCTGGAGTGTCCCTGGCAGAGGCGGGTGAGGAGGAGAGGGGGACGATCTGATGATAAGAACAAGAGTTGCTCACATTCGAGGTTAAGCCTCTGGGCCTGCTTTAGGGCGTCCAGCCTGCTCGTGTCGCTGGGGAGAGCCGGGCTCTCGGCGGGTCCTGCAGTGTCCCGGTGCCCTTTGTGGGACCTGCCTCGGCCTGGCACGGTAGTGGTATCTTTTCGCCTTTCTTCCAGTGCTATAAATCCTCCAAGGACCACAGCCCTCAGCTGGACGTGAACTTGCTGGGCAGCAGTGTCGTGCACAAGGAGAAGCAAGTGCGGAAGAAGGAGCACAAGCTGAAGATCACGCCGATGAACGCCGACGTGATCGTGCTGGGCCTGCAGAGCAGGGACCAGGCTGAGCAGTGGCTCAGGGTGAGGGGACGCCAGGCCGCTCAGGGGCGCTCCTGGAGTTGTGGCTGCCGCTTTTCCAAAGGGATGGATGACGTGGTCCAGGGCGGAGGGTTAAGGGCTTCCCGCATCCTACGGGGGAGCGATCCGTCATGGAAATGGGTTGCAGCCTCTGCTGCGGGGTCTGATGCCTTCCCCAGCCTGGACTTGGGCTGTAGCTGAAATCCATTTACCTCGTCACCTCTAGCGGCATCAGCAGCCTCCTTATTAAGGAGGAATAGATGTCACTGCCGTTTGTTACGTGTTTACCATGGACCAAGGGCTTTTAGCAAATCGAATCCACCTGACCACACTGGGGTAGCTGGGCAATGTTAGTGTCCCCATTTTACAGGAGTGGAGATTAAGGCTCAGAGGGTGGAGGTGACCGATCAGTAATGAATGTGCCTGACCTGTGCTGGGCACTGCACACAAGTCCTCGCAGCCACCTTGTGGCATAGGTGTTGTCCCAGTGTACGGATGTGGTGCCTGGCGAGTGAGTGGCAGTTCTGGGTCTCAGAGCTGGGGCTGCCTGACCACGGTGCTGCGCCGTCTGCCAGCACCAGTGCCTGTGCTCAGTTCTGTGCGTGGTCACCCACGGTGCAGTGATGATGATGGGGGGCCTGCCTGCCCCACGTTAAAGATGAGCCTCACAGATCCCCATGTGGCGTTCCTGAGAGAGCTAACAAGCTCTGAAAGACCAAGCCTGGGCAGTTAAGAGCCAGGGCTCTGGGTTCAAATCCTGGCTTCACCTCTTTTTAGATGAGTGATCTGGGAATGGTTCCTTTAATGCACACAAAGTACTTAGCATTGTGCCTGGTATATACTGAGTGCTCCACGAAACTCAGATAGTACAGATGAGACCACTGTGGCCCAGAGAGAGTGAGCAGCTTGTCCTGGGCTGCAGAGCTGACTAGGGTCCAGGGCTCTGGGCTGCTGGTTTGGTTTTTAACTCTCTTCTCTTGCCTCAGTCTCCTGTGTCTGTGCCAACCCCCCCGTCCTCACCCACTGTGCACACACACTTGCATACACACGTGTGCACACATTTGCATGTATATGTACATATGCAACGCATGTACACATTTGCATACATATATGCACACGCAACACACACCTGCCTCTCGTGCTCCGTTCCCAGCGCTGTTCCTCGGACTGCTCAGACCCACCTGTCCTTCCCCTAACGCCCCAGCCTCCCTCCCCAAACACTCAACACCCTCTTCCTGAGCCCCCGTAGCCTCTGCTGGTGGTTTCAAAGACAAGAACGCTTTCAGAGGGACAGCCTCTCTGTGTCCAGCTTTCACAGAGAGGCCCTTTTCCGCCTGGTCAGACGAGCACAGGGGAGGACTCGGCTGCAAGCGCCTGCTCCGAGAAGCCGCCGCTCTTGCAGTCTGCTGGGTCTGGGCAGCCTGCTCAGTGGGCTCACCGCCTAGTTGCACGGGGCTTGTCAAACCTCCCTGCCTGCCTTCGCCTCTGTGTCCCAATTCTGCATAGTCCTGCATCTGTGCCCAGAGGGAGACAGGTGTATGGTAGTAAATGACAGGTGCTGACTGTGGGGCAAGGGTCCCAGGAAAGGAAGGCACAGGCAGGTCTTCTCCGGGGAAGCAGAAAGCCCCACACCCTTGGGCCTGAGCTCCTGGCTCAGTGGTGCTTCCCCTGGATAGGGACATCCTTGTATTTAGGCTCAAGCTAATAGGGACAGCAATGGATGTGCCTGCCCTGTGCTGGGCACTCTTTGCAGGAGTCCTCACAGCTGCCCTGTGGCATAGGCGTTGTCCCAGCTTACAGATGCGGTGACTGAGGCTTAGGCCGACGGCCACACCACCGATGTGCCGACTCCAGCATCTGTGCCCTTCCCGTGACATGATGTTGCATATTCAGAGTGGACCGTGGTCCTGACCTGGAGCCAACTGAAGAAGGGAGAAATGCCTGAAGTTTCCCCTTCCCCATAGCTTTTCCTCCTCTGTTCTTTGGCTCTTGTGATGTCAAACCCATTTTCACAAACTGCTCTAGGCAGAGACTGAAAAAGGAGGATCTCTGACGTTACTCTTGCTAATTCTGCACCTTCACGGGGCTTCTGGCGCGGCTGTGTGTCTGCGGGTGCCCCGGGAATTCCCACTGCTCCCTTTCTGCCTTGCCCCAGCCCAGGCCCGGGCCAGTTAACAGGCTCCTCCCTGGAGGAGCGTGGCTGGAGGGTGGCAGGCAGTTCTGGGGAGCCAGGTGTCAGTTCCCGGCAGTCTGCAGGCCCCCCAGGCAGCACGGAGGCTCTGCAGAGGGTCACACAGCCCCTGAAAAGCCAGGGGACCATCGAGCGAGTGCAGTTGCTCATCACACCCGCAAGAGAACAGCACCCCGGCCCCGCATGGCGGCAGGAAGGGGGCCCGCGCAGCCAATGGGGGACTGCTCTGGGCATCTTCGGGCTTTGCTGCAAAGGCCCTTCTCCTGCCCCAAACCCACGGGGGCCTGCAGGAAGGGGCCTAAGCAACAAGCCCTCCCCACGCAAGCCTGCCCCCAGCTGTGTCCAGGCCACATGCAGGCCAGGGGCTGAAGTGGGGGTGGGTTTCTGTTCCTTGGAAATAGAACATCTTCTCTCCCACCTCCGCCCGCCCTTCCCTGACCCGGACGGGCTCCGACTTCGGTCTGGCTTGCAGTGCAGCCCAGAGGGCCTCACGGGGACCTTGGCCTCTGCTCACAGCTGTCCTCTCACGCAGGTCATCCAGGAGGTGAGCGGCCTGCCGTCCGAAGGAGCGTCGGAGGGAAACCAGTACACCCCCGATGCCCAGCGCCTTAACTGTCAGAAAGTAAGCTCCCACCCTGCCTGGGGGGAGGGTCCGCTTCCGTGTTTTTCTTTAAAAGTGTAAAACTGGGAGCTTTGTTTTTGTATCTCAGCCCAATTAATAAGAAACATACAATGCTTGGATAAGCGCAGTAACTTTAGCTTGGCAGGAAAACAGATGAAATGAATACAGACCTAAAATATCTTCTCGCTGGAGAGGGAAGCTTTATTGGAACGAAAGCACCTTTGGCTGCATTGTCAGGCAGGAAGATTTGGTTCATGAGGCTCTTCCTTCCCCTCCCCTGTAGGGCCTCTGGGGGCGGGGGGCAACTGTCTCAATGCTGACCCCAACCAAAGGGCTCTAGTGCTCATCTGCATGGAGCTTTGACCTTAAGAGTCAAGGTCAAGGAAGTTGGGCTGGGTGCTGGCCAAGGGGAGGATCGTCACCTGTGGGGTCATGTGTCATGTCCCTGAGGATCTGCAGATAAGTACCCTGAAGCCTGGGCGTGCCAGAGCAGCAAGAGGGTCTCATCCGGAGGTCCCCACCCCTGGCAGGGAGGAAAGCAAGAGGGACGCAGAGGGCTTGAGCAGGGAGGAGGTCGTTTGTTCTCCAGGAGGGCATGGACCATCCCACGTGGAGAAGTAGCCATCACCCTTCCCGAAGAACTTAAGAAGAGCTGATGCTTTCATCGTCTCATTCATTCTTTGGCCACTGACAAGAATAGAAAAGTTGGAGTGAATTTGGGTTTTCTTCACGTTGGGGTGTGAAACAAGAGCTCCCCTGAAAGACTCAGTGCGCAGTGCCTCCCTGGCCAGGGACTGCCGCCCCTAGACCCTGTCTGAGGCTGGCCCTGTTGCTTGGGAGCTGGTCAGCTCGTTTCTAGAGGTCTGGAGTAGGCACTTCTCTAGAAGAGGCTCGACTGGAACATCCCGAATGCTGCACATTCTAGCAGCAGCGGCGGCTACGCTTTTCTAGGGATTAGCTCTAGTCTCCAAGACCACTGTGACTACACACTGGGACATCATCCCTGTGTGACACACATAGAGTGAGGCTCAGAGGGGCTCAGTGAACTCGGACACCGGCTGCAGAATGCTCCCTGCGGGGGTGCAGACCGCCAGCTCTTCTCTGAAGCCGGAGGTGTTGCTAGTGCTGCCAGCTCTTAAAGACTGTGCTCCCCTCCCGGGATGGGTGGTTCCCACTTGACAGTCGACTTCATTAGGGATGCAGGCTCTAGGGCCACCCCTGGCTGTCTGTCTGCCCCTCCCACTGGCTGCGGGCCATGGTCGCATCAGGTAGAGCAGCCTTCAGAGAGCTTGTGAAGAAGGATGGGGAAGGTGCTCTGGGCCGGGGCAGGGGACCTCAGGCCTGGAGGGTGAGGGCAGGGGTTCCACAGAGCCCCAGATGGAAGCTGGGCCGATGTCCTACCTGCTGTTTGGGTGGCTCTTGGGGGTTTGGTCAGGGACCTCTGGGCTATACCTAAGAGCCATCTATTACTTCCCCTAAACTTGTAGTCCCTGTGGTAACTCTTCCCAGCCAGCAATCCCCACCCATTCTTCTCTTGTCCACAGCCCGATATAGCTGAGAAGTACCTGTCAGCCTCAGAGTATGGGAGCTCCACGGATGGCCACCCAGAGGTCCCAGAAACCAAAGACGGTAACCGCACCATGGCTCTCCCTGTCACAGCCAGGGAGGGAGGTGGCGTTCCCGGGTGAGAGATTTGGATGTCTGGCTCAACCCTGATGGGTTTGAGCAGCTGATTCTACCTCAGCCTCCAGTGAATAAAGTACTTGGAAATACGACAGCTGATAGATCCAGGGAAAAGGGAGAGATGGCCAAATCGAAGTGAAGTTTCATGAAATTCCGGGGATAGCATATTCTCCCATCTCTTCTTCTTCACCTATCCTATTTCAAATCCCTTTGAGCCAGTACAGTCCGTAAAGAGTCTCTGTGGTTACATATTCTGTAGGAAGTCTGTGTACCCCTCTTGAGTGTGCGGCTTTGGAGACTCCTGACTCTGGCCTGAGGACCCTGGTTTGGGGAGCAGACTGTGTGCGCACACACATGTGCATGTATGTGTGTAGGAGGAGGAATAGGTGCATGTCAGGGGGTGGGTTTGCTATTTTTTCCACCTCTTGTGGGCATGTGGGTGGACAGTGTGCAGTACCAGCTCTTTCTCTCTCATCTTGACAGTCAAGAAGAAATGTTCAGCTGGCCTCAAACTGAGCCACCTAATGAACCTGGGGAGGAAGAAGTCCACCTCGCTGGAGCCTCCAGAGAGGTCCCTCGAGACGTCCAGTAAGAATCTCAGCCACCCCGGGGGCCAGAGGGCTCGTTCACTGGGCCGGAGCCGGTCTCCAGGGAGGCGAGCGCGGGCCGCACAGGCAGAGCATTTCAGGTCTCGCTTTAAACACCTCTAGGACGGAGGACAGCGCGGAGCCCTCGGGGTCCTGTTTGATTTCACCGCGGGTAGTTCTTTACGCCTAACCAGACTCTTGCTGCAACGTTGGGTCCTTTGTGGGAGTGGAGGGTAACTCACTGGTGTCCTCCTAGTGTTTCTTTTGAAAATGATGTTCACTCAATCTGTATTTATGGAGTACGGTGGGCAGCATGTTAGGAAAAGGGGATCGAACCGAGGGCAGGCACAGCACTGAGATCTCACAGCCCAAGGGAGATGACGGCTCTACACCCGTGAGTGCTTGCTGTGCCATCTTTGTAGCTCTAAGACTCGGGGACAGAAAGAACCTTTCCTGCTCTGTGGTCAGAGGTGGCTTCCTGGACCTGAGTCTTGAAGGATGGGTGGGAGCTGAACAGGCCGGGATGGGACCCGAGGGCCGGAGCATGACCTATATAGGGGACAGGAAGAACCCCATGTTGAGGCACAGAGGTGTAGAGGTGCTGGTAAGCTCTTAGAGGTCGTCTCTATGCCCTCGCTCATACTTGGGGAAACAGGCCAGGAGAGGAGATAGGCAATTCCCTGGGAAATGTCCTCGGGTGAGGAGCTCATTGCTGCCACCCCCACCACCCGGGGCCTAAAGGCCATTACTGTTCACCTTCAGGCATTTTCTTCTTCCTCATGGAGCCCATGTCCCATCCCTGGGCTCTTTTCCTGAGTTCCAGTTAAGTTCTCTTGTTCTCTGAGGCTGCCAGAGAGGCCGGGGTGGGATGGGCAGGCAGCAGAAAAGGCCTGATCTTTGGAGCCTCCTGCTCTCTGGCCAGGGCGCTGGGCAGTGGCTGGCTCCACCGGCCCCTGCAGCCTTGGAGGACAGGACATTTGGCACAGAAGCCTGGTCCCAGTGAGTCGCTGTCACGGAGACGTGGCTGGGAGTCTGCTCAGCAGCTCAGAATGCTCCCGTCCCCTGGGATGGGGGAAGGGTGAGAGAACACAGTGACTCTCCTTCCCGGGACTTGGGGTGCTCACGGTCTGAGCTCCCACCTCTGTGGACCCCTTTGGTCCAGAGGATTGTGATGGGCGTGTGTGGCATCTGCCCAGATAGGCCAGAGTTCCTTGGTCCTGGTCTCTAATTCTTCCACTTTGCACCTGTGATGTGATGTTAATGTGGCTGGGAGATATGCTTGATCCCCACCATGTGTCCAGCTGGGCTGGGCAGGAAGGTGGCAGTGCACTTTCACCCTGTGGCCTGGGTCAGGACAGCTTCCAGTCTTAGGATGGAGAAAGTACCCACGTTGTAAGCCAGTGCCCCTGGGAAGGCAAGCAGCGCAGAGAGTGGGCAGCCCACACACAGTGTGCAGAGGGGCCCGAAGCCTGGATTTTACTCATCTTTGTAGCCCAGGGATAATGCCGTGCTTGGTGTGAGATGTGAGCTCAGTAAGTGTTCCTCCAACAGGGCAGGGAGGCTTGTCTTCTCCTTGGGAACAACAGAGGATGGCATGGTGTATGCACCCTGATGCTGGCAGCCTTTGCAGGCCACAGAGAAACAGGGAGACCATGGGGAAGAGGCCAGAGGGCCGCAGACCCTGGGCCCTGGAGAGGAACGGCACCGTTCCTGCCCTCAAGGAGAGCACTGTGTCCGGCTGGGGAGGCCAGCATGGAAGCAGAGTCCCACTGCATCAGGCTTCCAGTGTTGGCACAGGAGGCAGAGCCAGGAGTCAGGACCCAGCCAGGGCAGGTCCTTGAGCGGCTGCATCTGGGAGGGGGGGAGGAGTTGGGCACTTCAGGCTGAGTCTGGAGGGCCCAGCAGTGGGAAGGCTGCAGAGGCAACAGGATTGAACCTGCAGCAAGGAGAGACTCGGGCTGGGCAAGCAGAGGCAGGAGGGGGAGCCTCTGTCCTGTGCACGTGCCAGGCCTGGTCTGACGGAGGACACAGCTCACTTCCCCCTGGACATACGTCTGCCCCAAACCAGGCAGCATGCTGCCACCTTCAAAGGGCCTAGCTGCTGACACTATGGGGGATAAAGGTACTATGAGATTTACAGCCTCCGTGATACATGAAAGGCATGCCCGGTTCTGACGCTGAGATTCCAGGGCAGACTCTCAGGAGGCCCAGAAGTGATGCCAGCCTTGGACACCCTGCGGCACCCATGGTCTCCTGCCAGCGTATCCCCTCCGGCGGGTGCATCCCCTCCAGCGTCCCCTCCACACCTGCATCTCCTCCCGCAGGTTACCTGAACGTGCTGGTGAACAGCCAGTGGAAGTCTCGCTGGTGCTCCGTCAGGGACAGTCACCTGCACTTCTACCAGGACCGGAACCGGAGCAAGGTGGCCCAGCAGCCCCTCAGCCTGCTGGGCTGTGAGGTGGTCCCGGACCCGAGCCCTGACCACCTCTATTCCTTCCGCATCCTCCACAAGGGCGAGGAGCTGGCCAAGCTCGAGGTACCGCGGCCTGCGGGGCGGCAACAGGGCAGCCAGGGTGTGGCGGTCACAGCTATTTTGCTGCCAGTCTCCAGGACTGTAATCCTACCAAGGGAGAATCAATGTCACCGCACGTTATTTTTACTTCCTTTGCCTGAGATTGTTCGCATTTTTTAAAATTTCCATTCCTTTTCTGACCTCAGGGTGGTTGTGTTATAGGAGCGGGACAATGAGCTACTTCCTGCACTTAGGGCAGAAAGAGTATTTATAGCTCCCGGAGCCGCTGGAAAAGCAACCAGGGATTCAAAGTGGGTGCCGTTTGGTGTGTGTGTCACCAGCTGGGAGAGCCTCTGGGCCCAGTGCACAAAAATGACGACTGTTAGGGCTTATCTGGGGAAGAATTAGCTTTGTGATACAATTACATTCCTCCCACTCCCCACCCTGTTTGATGTGATGTTACATTTACAAAAATAAGAGGTGACATAATGCCTTGCAGCCTGGGGCAGGCGGAGTCCGGATCCTTTGTATGCACAAAAGCACACACTTGCCCTTAACTCCTGCTAACTTAGCCTTTACCCAGGGTCGTCATCCAAACTTTGCTCCAATACTGCCCTCTGGTGGCTACAGACCCACATCGCAGTTGCTTCCCAGGGACCAGCTTGTGTTCACTCATCCATTCACTGTCTGCCGTAGGCAGGTGTCTCCTCAGGACAATAACACGGTGGACAAGAGAGATATAGCCCCCCTGTCCTCATGGAACTTACATCCTAGTTTGACAGTGCAATGTTATTCAGCTAATTACCCAATTAAGGGAGAGTGATGTGCTCAGAGTTGGGTTTTGAGACACTTCCTCCTGCTACGGGGTGGGGGACAGATGGAAGAAGTGGCAAAATGAGACCTGCTCGGAAGCTGTCACTGCTGCCCAGGGCAGAAGTGTGGCAACCTGAACTAGAGGATGCCCTCGAACAGCTGCATTGAGAAATCAAGTTGAAACCAAGCGGGGAAAAGGAAACCAATGAACTGTCAAATTCCGCTTAATCACTACCTCTCTGATTAGGAGAATGTAGCCACAGAGGGGTAGAGCTATGGGGTATAATGCCAGAGGGGTAGCTGTTTTCCTCGTGCAAACAAACCTGTAGCTTTTATAGAATTACCATTTTTGTCTCAACATAAGGGCAAAAAAAATGTTGACATTTTAATAGAAGTACCCAGTGTACGTATTTGATGAGAATGCATCGTGGGCCAGGCGCAGTGGCTCATGCCTGTAATCTCAGCACTTTGGGAGGCCAGGAGTTCAAGACCAGCTTGAGCAACACAGCGAGACACCATCTCTACAAAAAATAGAAAAATTAGCCAATATTTTTTTTTTTTTGAGATAGGGTCTTTCTCTGTCTCCCAGGCTAGAGTACAGTGGTTTCATAGCTCACCGCAACCTCAAACTCCTGGGCTCAAGTGATCCTGCCTCAGCCTCCCAGGTAGCTGGGACTACAGGTGCGCACCACGATGCCTGGCTAATTTTCCTATTTTTTTTTGTAGAGACGGGGGTCTTGCTGTGTTGCTCAGGCTGGTCTTGAACAATCCCAAAGTGCTAGGATTACAAGCATGAGCCACTGAGCCTGGCCCCCACTTTAATTTTTAATAGAGATCACCTGGTGATAACTAATAATCATTATGGTCTTCTAGAGACACATATATATAAATCACATGTGACACTTGTGGACAAATGTCCACAGCATCATTGAGGCAGCATCAAGATGTCCCTGACAGGAAGTTATTTGGGGTCACTGAGGGACAGAATATGCTGGTGAACAGGAGGGAGCATGGCTCCAGGTTGTCGCAGAGGCCTGTCAAGGTGGGGACTGGGGCGGGGTGTTGTCATGGCCCGGTGGGGAAAGGCTGCACACCCGGGTCTGCTCATGTCTCTCTTGGCCTCCCTGCAGGCCAAGTCTTCCGAGGAAATGGGCCACTGGCTAGGCCTCCTGCTCTCTGAGTCCGGCTCCAAGACAGACCCAGAAGAGTTCACCTATGACTACGTGGATGCCAACAGGATTTCCTGTATCGTGAGTGCGGCCAAAAACTCTCTCTTGTGAGTATCAGAGGGCCTCTGTTCCCAGCCATGCTGCCCCTGGTGGTCAGCCGGAGCAGGATGGCAGCCCAGCGCACAGGGTTCGGCCCTGCTCTGCCCAACAGCAGGAAGATATAGAGCTAAGAGCCAGGAGCTGGGCAGGCCCTCGGCCCCAGGGGTGGCTGCAGTGTCCTGGGCTCTCCAGCTCCTTTAGGACAGAGTTGTCACCTTTCCTGGCCTTCTACTTGTCCTTCCTGTCAATTTGGCACTTCCCATGACCTCTCACCGGGTCCCCAGCACACCCTGGAAGAAGCAGGGCAGGGGTGGGACTTCTGCTTTCTAGAAGAGTGAGCTGGGGCCCTGGGAGACATGTTCCCAGGCCAGGGGACACAGCAGTACCGGAGGGAGCCGGCCAGGCCACTGAAATGGAATCTGCCACCTTATGCACAAATTGGGCCACCTCTGGTCTGTGCTGCCCCAAGTGTATCGCAAAGGCGAAATGGGAAGGATTTTTCTTGTCGGTGTTGGAGGGAGATCCTAGAAGGGAGGAGTCGGGGGAGAAGATGGCAAAGGAGCCTAAGAGGAGGGCGATGGGGCAGGGCAGTTTGTTTTCCTGGGAGAAAAATCTGGAACCGAGAGTTCCAGGAAGAAGGCACTGGGAGACGAGGGAGGAGATGCCCCCAGATATGCAGCAGGTAGGGGTCGGTCCCCAGATCTCTGCAGCATCACCCGTCGTCGTGAGGCCGGTGCCTCCGCCTCGCTGTCCCGCGTGCTTCATGCGTGCCGTGTCTCGCCGTGTCTTCCAGACTCATGCAGAGAAAGTTCTCAGAGCCCAACACTTACATCGACGGCCTGCCCAGCCAGGACCGCCAGGAGGAGCTCTACGACGATGTGGAGCTGTCGGAGCTGACGGTGGCGGTAAGGACACGGCCAGATGGTGGCCTCAGGCCGTCCTGTCCACCCCCACCCCTGCCAAACCTCGGTGCCTGGACCCCGGAGATCGCTAGATTGTTCCTAAGAAGAGTGGGTTCCGAGTCACCTACCGGGCGGGCCATCGGCGCAGATGCCTAGGTGCAACAGGGCTGTCTTTCACATGGGACGCCACGCACGTGCCTGGCTTGGGGACTTATCTAGATAGAACAGCTGGTTAACTGCCCTGGTCAGTGCTAGGTGTGGGGGGTGTGGTGTCGGGATTGGGAACAGTGACACCATTAGCCTTTGAGGTCCAAACTGATAGTTGAGGTGCAATGACCATACTGATGGCAGGTTCCACGTGCTGGACGTTGAACTCTGCTGAGCTAAGGGCTTCGGGTAGATTAGCTCCTTCAATGTCAGCCACTCTATGGGAAGGTACTGCTGTTTCCTCTTTACAGATGATGAAATAAGGTCCAGGGAAGTTAAGTATTATGTCCTGGGTCACCCACCTCTTGAGTGGCATATCCAGGACCCAACAGGTGGCTCCCCCAGGAGGGAGAGAGCTCTCTGGGGACTCCAACACCGGTGGGGCCAGGAGCTGGTGCCCTTCCACAGCCAAAGGACTGGAGGTAGTGGTGCCTGCCCCCCACTCTCTCCTGCAGGCGGAGCCCGCTGAGGAAGCCACCCCTGCTGCAGACGCCCCAGGCGAGAGTGAGCCCGACCGAGTGTACCTGGACCTCACGCCTGTCAAGTCCTTTCTGCACGGACCCGGCGGTGCTCAGGCCCAGGGCTCTTCCCCGCCGGCGCCCCACCCGGACGGTCTGCCCGAGGCCGTCCCTGCAGACCCAGGCCCAGGCCCCACTCCAGATGAGCCCTGCTTGAAGTCTCCAGAGACCCCGGGGGAACAGGTACAGGCCGTCCCCCAGCACATGAGCAGGACCACCTTCCCGTGCCCCTCCGGCTGGCTGAGTCACGTGTGCTTTCTCCCAAAGCAGAGGCAGCTGGACAGCCCGGAGCCCCAGGAGGCTTCCCCGAGAAACACCACAGTCAAAATCCAGACTGAACAGCAGAAAATCTCCTTCCCGTCGAGCTGCCCCGACACCGTGGTGGCCACCCCCGCTGGCGCCAGCCCGCCTGTGAAGGACAGGTTGAGGGTGCCCGCTGCAGGTGCTCATGCTAGATAGGAGCTGACCATCTGGGATGTGGTTTGGAGAAGTTGGCCTGATTCCTTTCTTTTTAGATGAGGACACAGAGGTTCAGAGAGGGGGAGGGACTCGCCCAGGGTCACACAGCAAAGAAAGTGTAGGCCCAGTTTCCTTTCTTGTCCCTGCTAGGCTGACCTGGTATCCAGCTTTGATTTTGTGCCAAAGCCCCAGGTTCCGAGCCTGGGGAGAGGGTTGGGGGCGGCCCCTGGCTGACCTGGGCTTCCCCTCTCTGGGTCTGTAGAGATCAAACTCGGCAAGAATCGGACAGAAGCCGAGGTGAAGCGGTACACAGAGGAGAAGGAGAGGCTCGAGAAGAAGAAGGAAGAAATCCGGGGGCACCTGGCTCAGCTCCGGAAAGAGAAACGGGAACTCAAAGAGACCCTGTTGAAATGTACAGGTAAGGGCCTTCCCACTGGCCTGTATGTCAGGGGCACGCGTGGGCACGGGCTGAGGGAAGACTCTGGATCCGTCACCTGCCTTCCTGACCTGAGCGCCTTCCCCTCTCAACGTCTGGCCTAGGCGGGTGCTCCCTGTGGTCTCTCTCCCCTAGTCCTGTCTGGAAGGTTGCTGTCCTGTACAGAGACCCTCTGACGGGATGGCAACAGGAGCAGCGGGTGGTTGAGAAAGCTAGTTCAAGGTGGAGATCTTTAAAAATTATGCTTAGGCCTTAAATGTTTTATTTTCACTTAAATGCATATTCCTTGGCCCATCTTTTGACATAGTGCCACAGCCTGGCACTGCAGATGTTCTGAGCTCTGGGTCAGCTGACCGGAGTCCTAGGCCATCCTTCCTGCATTAACTACACCTGTGATCATCCTTCGTTTCCAGGCTTTCTTTAAAGTGAACAAAAACTTAAGACACTTGCCAAGAAACCTGAGTCCTTTCTAGATCATTGTCCAAATCATCCTCATAGCAACTGGCCTCTTTTAGAGCCTTTCTGAAGCACTTGGCTTAGTTTCCACAGAGTAACTTTGTGGTCATTTAATATTAAAACTGCAGAGTTGCATGAACAAGTGAAATTGGTGGAACAGGCTAGGGGACAAAGTCAGCTGTTTAGCGAAGGAAGGTCTTGAGGGTACAGAGTTGCCCACTGTTTCTTTTTGTTTTTGTTTTTTTTTTTGAGACAGAGTCTCGCTTTGTTGCCCTGGCTAGAGTGAGTGCCGTGGCGTCTAGCTCACAGCAACCTCAAACTCCTGGCCTCAAGCAATCCTTCTGCCTCAGCCTCCCGAGTAGCTGGGACTACAGGCATGTGCCACCATGCCTGGCTAATTTTTTCTCTATATATTTATATTTTTAGTTGTCCAGATCATTTCTTTCTATTTTTTTCGGTAGAGATGGGGTCTCGCTCTTGCTCAGGCTTGTCTCGAACTCCTGACCTTGAGTGATCCACCTGTCTGGGCCTCCCAGAGTGCTAGGATTACAGGCGTGAGCCACCGTGCCCGGCCTGGAGTCGCCCACTGGTTTTTTTTTTAATAACAGCTTTATTGAGACATAATCCAACTGACTCATTTAAAGTGCACAAATCAATTGTTTTTAGTATATTCACAGTTATCCACAATCAATTTTAGAACCCCAAAGAAACCTCGTCACCTGTCAGCAGTCACTCCTCCTTTCCCCCAACCTGCTTTCTGTCTTCGTACGCGAGCACCCTCTGGTTCTGAGGGTTTGGCGGCCTAGGACGTTGCCAGTGCTCAGAGGTATGGGACGGGGAGACAGGAGCTGGGCTTCCTTTCCATCCAGCAAGACTGGAGGGGGGAATGTGAGCTGACAGAGGTGACCAGAGACTCCTCTGTGATAATCCTTGGAAACCCTGGAAGCGTGGAGCCGGGACTATGAGGAAGGAAGGGGAGATTCCCAGCCCTCTCTCTCCTAGGTGGATATTCTAGGTGGGAGAAGACAATTTTCACTATAGCTTATTCTCCTGGCAAATAAGCCCTGTAGATCCTGGGCTAATAAGTCACAGATAAGAAAGTGATCCTCAAGTATTGATACTGACCACTGCATAGAAACTGTATTTTTTTAACTTCAATCCCCAAAATACCAACACATTTTCTCAACTTTTTCTGCGTGAATTTTTCTTTGAGACGATCTTCAGTAGCATCTATGAATTCTTGCACAGTGACTCCTGTTATTGCTTGTCCTCTGACAGATGATTATTTACCATACAGCTTGGAAACAGTACTTAAGTTTTTTGGGTGGTTGACCTGTGCTGGGGACGGTGTGTGGGACACTTTTCACTAGCGGTAGGCCACCGTTCTTGGTGTGCGGTCCCCACTCGAGAACCCCAGGGTTAAGAGGAGAAGCATAAAGCAGGGCAGAGAGATGTGGGAGCCACGTGGGGCAGACAGACCAAGCCTCCCTCATCCTTTTGGGTCATTGTCAAAATAGCAGATAGCAAAATAATCGAGAGAGCCTCTGAGAACCTACCAGAAGGTACTCAGGCCTCAGACTCATGCCCTCCCCGTCCTTGAAGAATTGCTGATGTGGGTCTTGGGCTTCGAGGCTGCCTGCTGCACATAGAAAGGCCCATCCTGGCTCTGGGTATTGGGGCCAGACTTGGGGTCCACATCTCCCTGGGGTCCTTCTCTGGCGGGGTGTGTGCGTAAACCCTGCCTCCACCCAGCAGGGCTCCCTGGCCTTGGCTGAAATGCCGTTCTACGCGGCTGGCTTCTCTCTCCAGACAAGGGGGTCCTGGCCAGCCTGGAGCAGAAGCTGAGGGAGGTAGACGAGGAGTGCCGGGTCGAGGAGAGCAGGCGTGTGGACCTGGAGCTCAACATCGTGGAGGTGAAGGACAACCTGAAGAAGGCTGAGGCAGGGCCTGTGACGCTGGGCACCACTGTGGACACCACCCACCTGGAGAATGTGAGCCCCCGTGTGAGTACGGGGCCTCCTGGATGCTGCCGGGGGAGGTGGGTCAGGTCTCCAGCCCCTTGACTCAGCCTGTGCTCTTCTCCTGTAACCACAGCCTAAAGCTGCCACCCCCACCCCCACCCCGGACTGTACCCCAGTCAACTCTGCAACCACCCTCAAGAACAGGCCTCTCTCAGTCATGGTCACAGGCAAAGGCACCGTCCTCCAGAAGGCCAAGGTAAGTGGTCACGCCCAGCCTCCTGCAGGGCCTGCGGAACCGTCCCTAAGACGGGGGCCCCTCTTCTGACCTGGGCAGCGCTTTGCAGCGTTAGGTGCCAGCTCTGAGTGAGGGCTCAGCTCTCAGCAGGAAGTGGCCGGCTTCACTCTGCCTTTGGCACTGACCAAGGCCCTTGTACTTTCTGGTTGGTCAGTCCCAAAACACTTTCAGGTTCGAGTGTTCTTACCAGTAAGCCTGAGGACGCTGGAGTCCTTGACCTGCCTACCACGCAGTTATCGGTAGATTCCGGGGGACAGCTGCAGCTTGGGGACAGACTGTGACTGAGCAGTTTTCAAATCAAAGTCAGCGACTCCAAAGGGCTTCTACCATTAAAACTAAAACAGATTGAGACAGGCGACGTGGTTTGCCTAAAGTCACCCCGCTGGCTAGTGGCCAAAGGCTCAGCAAGGTGTGAACAAGGAATGCATGCCATGACTGGGTTCCCCCAAGGGCTAGATAAAAAGTGTTATTAATCCTTTACTCATTTACTCATTTGTACGTTAAAGAACATGCCTAGGGCTGCCTTTGTTTTTGGCAAACTCTGCTCTTCATTCCTATCCTGCTTACCTGTAGGAGACGTTGGCAGGTGCCCACACCAATGGCTAACTATTGAATCCATGCAAGCCCCAGAGCTACTGCTCCCATGCAGCCGTGGCAGACATCACTAATCGCTCACAGCACTCTCTGCTATGCCACAGCCTCAAAATCTCTGAATAGATGCTCCAAGCGGCAGTGACCACACAGGGTTTGAAATATATGTCACCTCTATTCCTAACTGCTTCTGTGCTTAAAATATTTTTTTATGTATATAAAGATTGCTACAGAGGATAACTAACCTCACTTTTTTATGGGGGGGGTGTTGGTATTTGAATGGTACCCTAGGAATGGGAGAAGAAAGGAGCAAGTTAGGAAACCAGCTTCAGCGCAAGACTCTCGTGTCAATGCGGACCTTGGTGACAATCCTGTGTCGTTAAAGCAGCAAGTCTGCGAAAGGGTGAGTCTCTTTAGAAGAAAAAGGACTGAGGTACTGTGAATGGAGAGCTTTGGCTAAGAGGAGGCTCTGTCCCTTTTCAGAGCTAAAGGACACAATACAACAAAAAAAGGCGGCTTCTTTGGAGACCTAAGTCTATTGGGTATAAACAAGACATTGTTGTATTTAGGGATAATTCTGTGTTTCTTTTTGGAAGTTTTCATCAATTGCTTTATCAAGATTTTTAAGTAATGGAAACCTTGTGATGTTGTTTAGACATTGGAAGAGAAATCAAAAGGACAGGGCCCTGTCCTGTGGGTCACGTGGCTTTGGTGAGTGGGAAGACCTAAACTCCTGACTGTCATCTCTTAGCAGTGCTGAGGGTTGAACTGCCCTTGCCTTCCAATTTGTTCTCTCCAATATTGGCAGGCCTGACTCGGTCTTCGGTGATTTTTAAATAGCATTGACATCACCTGTGTAAAACCATCTATGAGTTGCAAGAAACAGTACTGGGGGAAATATTTGGGACCAAGCTAAGGCACTGACCCCACTAAGTTAAGGATTTTTTTCCCAGTCCAAGGCAGGCCTGAATCAACTGCCTTTTGATGCTGTATTATGTAGGGAAAAAAGTTTAAAATCCTATTTAGAACAGTGAAAAGTGTCTTTTGAGATTTAACTGATTTTTTACATTACCATGGGGGGAAAATTACTCTGTGTTTACAGATTCAGTCCTGTGGCCAGGCCATTTTTAAGGGAAGAGTTATTTAACAATGCTTTTTAGTCTCCGATTAATGGTCTCCCTCTTCTCTTAAAACTGGCAGTGCTGTTCCTTGTGCTGCCCTGTCTTCTCCTCTGATGGCATTGTTTTTTTAACACAGGTTGAAACATTTCATCTATCATCTCTGCCTCATTTTGGGGGGTTCTGAATCAGAGTTCTCTAACATTGGTTCCTGAGAACTAAAGATCTTTTTTATTCTTATTGTCTTTCTAATCCCAGGGCATTTATTTCCTTTGTCATAAACACTTGGTGACCTTCTACCAAGTGGTGAGTTAGATTTTTTTTTTAATAAAATGTTCACTGTATCTTGGGTTTTCCTTGTATTTCATGGAATAACTTGGGGTGGGGCCTGGTCGATTTTTATCTCAAGGGGGAGAGAATGTCTTGGTTATTTACACACTGAACTTCAAAATATATGCAGTGAAGCCTGGTAGAACTATAAGGCAGTAGCCTAAGCAAAAGACTTTAAATCAAGTAACAAAGATAAGCTGAAAGAAGATGTTTAGTTGGCCCTTGAACAATAGGAGTTTGAACTGTGCAGGGGGGTGGGTGGGGCTAGTTATATGCAGATTTTCTTCCACCTCTCCCACCCTTGAGACAGCAAGACCAACCCCTTCTCTTCCTCCTGCTCCTCAGCCTACTCAAAGATGATGGCCTTTATGATGATCCACTACCACTTAATAGTAAATATTATGTTTTTCTTAACATTTTTTTCTTTAGCTTTTTAAGAATATACAATACATAGAACATACAAAATATGTGTTAATTAACTTTCTATTTTCAGGAGGGCTTCCGGTCAAGGGTAGGCTATTAATATTAGTAGTTAAAAGTTATACATGGATTTTTGACTACCCAGGGCATCAGTGCCCCAACCTCTGCATTGTTCAAGGGTCAACTGTATAATTAACAGTGTACCAAATACACAGGAAACATCTGCAGAAACTGATCATACACAGGTGATTGAGTATCAATACTTGTAGATGTTAAGTTTCACTCCTAAATATTTCCTGGGGAAAAAAAGAAACAGCAATACTTAGAGGGCCACCTAAGTAGTAAATAAGGCACAAATGTGTTTATTAAAAAAATGACAAAACCAAAATCTGGTTCATTGAAAAGACTAATACAATAAAAAAGGCAACCTAAGGAAATATAAGATAGCAGAACTGAAAAGAAGGCCTTAAGTACAGATACTGACTAAATAACAAGAAAATACTGTGAATATAGCATAGTGAAAGTTTGAGAAATACGTGTTCTCCATTTAAAGTCACTGTAGCTCTGATACCAAAAGGTCAACACATATTGCAAGAGAAAAAGCCAAATCTCAATCTTGGACACACACAAAAAATCTGAAATATTGGCAAATGAAATTTAGCAGGGTTTATAGAAAGATGTATCATGACCAATAGAGTTTATCCAAAAAGTCGAGAATGGTTTAATGAAAATATGCAAATGGTAATTAACTGATTAAATCTCAGCACTCATAATAAACACTCCTAGTTATCTAGGTAACCTGACAAAGCAACCCACAGAAAACAACAATGGTGAGAAAGTCCCTGTAGTCAAGAACCAGATATGGATTTGCCATTACCATGACTTTTTGAAGTATTATTCTGGAGGTCCTAGGCTATGCAAAAAGGCAAGAAAAAGAAGTAGTATACAACTTTAAAAGGAAGAGAAAGCTATCATCATTTTTTAAATGATATTTCTCTAGAAAAGCAAGAGAAGCAATTAGAACTAGATTATCCAGCAAGATGGCTGCAATTAGGATCATTCAGAGAAAACAGATTAATGACCTATCTGCAATGTTTTAATTTTTGCAAGGAGAATAAATTTATATATTACTTGTATAATTAAAGCTAAAAATTAAAGCTAATTTCTTTTAAATGAAAGAAAAAGGCTTGGATGGTTAGGCCATAACATGGGAATTCCCTCTGCCATGGCACTGGAAAAAGTTGAACTATTCAGTGGCACTTTCACTACAAAAGGTTTAAAAAAAAAAGTCTCAAGGGCTGGGGCCCCAGCTCCTAAAAAGAAACAGCGAAGGCCTGTGCTACGTAAGCCCAGGGCCCATGGTTTATTGTGTCTTTTCAGTCCAAGTAATTCAAATAGGTCATCCCCATATCAGCCCTGAACAAGACAAAGAACCTACAATATAAAATGATTAAACTGCTATCAATTTAAAGACAATAGATTCTTGTAATTTCCACATCACTGATCAGCACATGCCAGATGGGCGTGTGATCCTGCCCTGACGTTGCCTTCTATGAAGGACAGCGAAATGACAGGAAATTGACTGCCACGACAGTGCTCTGTACACCAGACTTAATGTCTGATAATATCATGGTGATACAAGCACTTATCAAAGTAGCCTTGAACTTTCATACATAAACCATTATGTTAAAATATCTATAAAGAAAAACCACGATGAAGTCTCTGGATTTATGTCCGAGCTCCACGTGGATTTCTCCTGAAAACCCAACTCTAAACAACATGACCCTGCGGAATAACTGATTCCTAAATATGGCAGGGGTATCCAGTTTGCTAGAAAATATTCCAAATAAGCCTCTCTGCCACATAGGTACAGATATTCCTATTAAATAAGTAACCAACGATATTTCTCGAAACATTCCTTTAAAAACTAGGTGTAGAGCAAAACAAAAGCCTAGACAGCATAAGCTCAGTAAACCTGAAAAAGCAAAACCTCTATAAATTTCTTTATCCTATCTTTGTTTAAAAATTCTACTTTTCTTTGCCCCACTAAAAGGAGCGTAAGGAAAGAATTCAATAAACACCCCATAATTAACCCCTCCTAAGTTGACTCTTTTAAAAGGAAGCCCCTCCAAGGCGGTGCTGCCCAGTCCTCAGACCAATTTCACGGGCCCCTCAGGACCTGGGCTGTTAGCACACTCAGCCCCTCCCCCATTGTCAGACAAGCTGGTTAACTGGTCACATTCCAGTCTGGGCCCTTTCCAAGCCCTTGATGCAGTGACCAGAAGTCACAAATGCCACTCACGCCCCTCTTCAAACCCAAAGCTAATGCATCCCACATCTTTGGGAAAGTGGAAAAGTGCCCCCTTTTCCATCCTGAAATGCCATCGCCTCAGTGGTTCAAAGGATGCTCTAGTAAATACCTTTTGCTGGGCATTACTGTCTGAAAAACATTCTGTCCAGCACTTGCTATGGGTAAAGTGAACCTCAAATAGGCCATCAAATTCCTCTGGAGTCTCCAGGACCCCTGTTTACCCTCAGGGGAAAGGTGGCAGGTGACATACCCTCTGCAAGGCACAAGCAGGTACAGAAAGTCAGTATTTACTTACACATTGAGGGTTTTCAACATCATCGTTCGGGGTGCCTGCAGCTGCTCCCACTGTCCCTAAGCAGCATGGCTGCAGTCAGGACATCCTCTGGGGTGAGGATAGCAACAAGAGAGGGCAGAGCCAGAGGCAGACTCTCTGCCAAGGGCAGGTGTCTTTCATCTCCCAGGGTGCCCAGGTCTTCTCTGTAGTTGCTGGGAGGGTCATGACTCCTGTTCTCCTGCGGGCTCCTGGCGGGAGCCACGTGCCTTGGGAGCATCTCCTCTCAAGACCCCTGGGGAAGGAAGTGAACCCTGAGGGCAGGAGCATCTCCATCCTCCCCTCAGCCGATCGGCAGTCTCGTGGGCCCCTTCAGATCCACTCCCCAGCCTTGGGAAGCCAACCTCTGCTGGTGGCTGCAAACTCAAGGCTCCCACTGGAACTGTCTTCTGATTTCTGGCTGTTCTAACTTTCAACTCGTGAACAGAAGCCACAGGTGGGCCCATGATGCTGCCTGACAATCACTGTCTACATCCTTAATCTGTTCCCCTTCTCTCCTAGACAGTTACTTCTCATCCTCTCTCTCAAGCCTCCAGCACCTCCTCCCCATCTCCTCTCACTGTTCCCGCATATCCCCCCATTTCAGTGAGCAAACAGAAACACTCACCAAAGAGCTTCCACTGGCTCCCACCACACCTATTAGCCCATCTGCCTCTGTGCTGCATCCGTCGTCGTCATCCCTGTTCCCTGCCCGGGGAGGGCTCCCTCCTAGCTGTCAGGATCAGCACCATGGAGTATACTACAGGCTGCACTTATTTACTATCTGTCTCCTACTGGGATGGAAGCTCCATGATACTGCTGCACTCCCCACACCTAGAAGAAAGTCTGGGATGCACGAGGTACCAACTGCTTTGTGGGTGAACAAATCAACAACTGATTCCTTCTGCTGAGCTAATGCCCCAGAACCCGCCTGCAGCTGCGTTCGTGTGACTCGGCAGGACTCAGGATACCACCCCCGGCCCAGGCGCCCGAGCAAGAGCCGCACTCACGGTTCTCGCAGTGGGGGCCCCCCCAGCCGTCCCGGCACTCGCAGCGGTAGCTCCCGTTCTGCAGGACGCAG